TTCAAATCCATGGGTTTGACTTCCTGCTATAATGTTGCCACCCGGCTCGAAAGAGGAGATCATCCCGGTGGTCCACTTTGTGACCCAAAAAAGACACAGTGTCTGTGACTAGCTGAGCTTTTCTAGGGTTCAACGTAACCCCAGCTGTTAGCAGCACTTAGAACAATATTTGTTGAGTTTTGTTTGGGAAGGGTATCAAGGGACAAGGGTGGATAATTGGAGTTGAGGTACAGATCAGCAGTGATCTTATAGAATGGGTTCCTAGTTACTGCTAGGTAAACAGAGGCATGTGGAGTAAGGAAACTTGCCCGCTGTTTCGCTCTGCCTGGGAATTGAACCCAGGTCCTCTCGCTTGTGAGACGAGCGCTCTAACCACTGAGCTACAGGACTTCCAATATGTTTCATACTGGCAAAGCTTAACATGATGCATCATTCTTGTGTCAAGAACAACTCTCCCAGGATACTTCAAGTGGGAAGCCTCTTGGAATTGGTGTTCAGTAATGGCGGGGAGGACGAGGGGAGAGTTAAGTTTTTCTCAACCTATTTCTCAATGTCTCGAGTGGCTTGTTTGGGTTTTGGATGGAATTATTTTTAGCAGCTTTCTGTCAGCAGTAATCTTGGCAGCTCTTGATCATCTGTCTGATGAACATGTGCTTTAAATGTGAACAGCTGCCCCCACTGGATCCAGAACAACAGACAGTGCGAAAGTGCACTGTTGCGTCCTCCGGTATATTATGTAATCTTGTTTAATGCATCAATGCAAATTTCACCAATGAGCCTTTCCCTACTGTGAGAAAACATCCGCCCAACTGTCTAATTTATTTAATTGAATGCCTGCATCTGCTCAAGTGCCTAAACAGTCGTCAAGCTGTCTCAAAGCGCTTCACCCGTGTACTGAAAAGTGGCGTAACTGTATTTTGTGTGCAACGAACACTTCTTTGAACAAATTTTCGAATAAATATTTGCTTTCAGCAAACTGTTTTGAATTTGATCTACACTTGTACGAGGAGTACCCCAAAAGTAATGCCTCCTTTTATATTTTCTCAGGGGTCTTCTTTAAATTCCCAAACTTAACATATAGACACAAAAGAAGCTTTTTTTTAAATACACTCGAGCACTTCCATATCTACCGCTTCTCCCTTTCACACACCCGAACTGACTTTTACTCCAAAGTCATCCTGAACGCAAACAACAATCCAAAGATGCTGTTTCCCACTGTCCATCTCCTCCTCCGTGCGCCTCCTCAAGCCCCCTCTATCCTCTCGTCAAGCGCCAAGTGTGAGGAGGCACTATACTTCTTTGCCTCAAATATTTAAAGCATCCGCTTGGCTGCATCATCCTCCCCCCCACCCCCCATGTCCTCTTCCACCATACCCAGACCATCCACACTGCCTTCTCCTTCTGCCACAGCTCCTGCCACTACCCCCTCCTTGGCCCTCATTTCTCCCTCCCTCTCAACCACAATTAACCAGATAAACCACCTGCTAGCTTGACCCCATCGTGGATGAGTTTGTCACCTCCCACTTGGATTACTCCAACGCAGTTCTCACCGGTCTCCCCAGCTCCATCATTTGCAACTCTGCACCCTACATAGTGACCAAACTCCGTACCCACATCTCACCAGTTCTGGCCAGGCTCCACTGGCTCCCCATCACCGAACAGATTGCCTTCAAGGTGCTCACCGTATTCAAATCCATTCACTCCCTGGCACCTCCCTACCTCTCCGACCTCCTCACCCCCCAATCCACCACCCGGTATCTCCGCTCGATGGGCACCAACCTCCTGATTGTCCCTTGCACCCTCCGCCCCACCATTGGAGGTTGTACTTTCAGCCACTACACCCCAAATTTCTCGAACATTCTCCCTCAATCCCTCCACCTTACAGCCCCCTCTCTCCTCTTTCAAGTCCCGCCAGAAAACTTTCCTGTTTGACCGTGCTTACGGCCAGCTTGCCCCTTCCCCTGGCTCAGAATTAAGCGCTCTGAGATCCTACCCTGCACAGAGGGCACTATATTGTTGTTGCAGTTGTTTTCCCACCTAATCACCATCTACACACTTGTGTCAATGTGGAATCAGTGCCAGTTTGCCACAACGATAATATAATAATCCTTGCATTTGATATAGTACCTTATCATGTCTTCGAGACGCCTCAAAGCGCTTCACAGAATGTACTGTAAGGTGTAGTGACTGTATATTTTGTGGGTGAAACGCTGTGCAACTGGCCTTTCTGGTTTCCTTGTGCAATACGGTTAGCGCTCGTAGAACTGACCACGTGCAGTCTATAGAGTAATGAATCATCTGTATGGCATGATGACCGACTGATACTGAGACTCTCACGCTCACGCTGAGCGATGCGCCGATCTTTGCTTTGCAGATAAATTCAGCAACTTTATCCGTATTCTCTTCATTAATAGCTGTTGACAGCCGCCCACTGTGCGACCCGTTTTGGAAGTTCAGTTTCTCCACTTTTCATACCATTTACTCAGGGTCTTACAGTACTCGCAACAACACAGAACTGTCCATCATGCAATGGTGAATCTCAATCAGCGAAATCCCCTCAGCCGAGAGAAATTCAATTACTCCTCTCTGCTTACTTATCACGTGTCTCAATCTTAGGCACCATTTTGAACTGCTGTCACGTGCCTCCATCTGATTAGAAGTAAAACTAATCTTTCACATCACTGGCAGGATATATAAAAAATCTGGTGTACATTTTTCGTTACTGTACCACTTACCAGTCTTCACAAAATAAATAGGTGTCTCTTGTATCCTAACCCGCTGATGGTGTAAAGAATGGATTTTAAAAAATCCTCTGGACAAAGACTGGGCAAATGAGGGAGCAGATGTTTCTGAAAATTTTGTTTCCTGCGTTCTTTTATTATACCTATTTTATGTTTGGAAATTGTATTAACATTAAACGTTTCAGTCTTTTTAGGAGCGTAACCTGCACCATTTTTTAAAAAAAAGTGTCAATTGTCTGCTTAATAATAATAGTTGCATTTGACATAGAGCCTTATCACGTCTTCTGGACGTCTCAAAGCTCTTTATAGAATATATGTAAAATGAATTGGCTGTATTTTGTGGGCGAAAGACAGCAGCCAATTCCGCACCGCAGTATCCCGCAAAGAGTAATGGATTGAGTGATCAAATTATTATAATTTTTTTTGAAGGGACTATTACCCTTGGAAAAATGATTGACTAACAACCGGGTTCCTACTTACTGGTAGGTATACAGAGTCTTGTGGTTTAAGGAAACTTGCTCCATGTTTTTCCCTGCCCGAGAATCGAACCAGAGTCCTCGCGCTTGGGAGGCAAGTGCTCTAACCCCTAAGCTACAGGACTACAGGCGATATAATTATTATTTGCTTGCTTGTCAGCCATCAAGGCGTGGATCAGTCTCAGTTTCTTGCAGCTTAACATGGACAAGATGGCTGGAAGCCATCCTTCTCTACTCCTGCCAGTATTTCCTTGGCTTTCCTCAAAACTCATTAAAACAGTGTGCAACCTTGGCATTTGGTTTGATCCTCAACTCTCCTTCTCTCACTCAAATTCTTTCCGGTTATTAGTCCCTGGCAGATTTCTTTCTGGGGTTAATAATCTCTAAAAAAAATACAGTCGCTCAATCCACGACTGTTTGTGGGACTCTGCTGTGCACAATTAGCTGTCACCTTTTTTCTCCCCACAAAAAATATACATTTCACTTCAGCGTATTTTCTGTGAAGCGTTTTGAGATGTCTCAAAGGCATGATAAGACAGTATATCGAAATCAAGGATAAATCATTGGACATCTCGACACACACATGTAGTATAATCCTCTGTACTTGCATTGGAGCAAGGTTTTGCGCCCGCAATTTTTCCGCGGGATCCGTTAAAACAAACGCCCTCCTAAAAGCAACTCCGCTCTACGAAAACCTGTGAAATTAAAGTATGCTCGGCGCCCGACTTCTGCTCGCTGCTGACAGCTGTTTGCCCGATGCCTTGGTGCAGCGACTGAGTGGAGAGTGTTGGGATCATGGCAACGCCTCAGGCAGGAAATGGGCTTCACTCAAGCACCTGCGCGGCTGTCGAGAATGTGTGTGTGTGTCTCTCTCTCGCTGTCGAGCCCAGGTCCTCTCGTTTGACAGGCGAGTGCTCTAACCACTAAGCTACAGGATTCCACAGATATTGATATGAGTGGCCAACAGACTTGCTGCTTCTGTTTGTGGTGCCCTTTTATTAATTAAAAAAAAACGCACCCCTGTTGGTGTAACTTAGTGTGTTGCGTTGGTCCGTGATGTTTAAGTAGGTAAAATTGTGGCTCAAAAGTCCTGGTGTTTGGCCAGTCTTAAGGTTGGAAAAAATAGCAGGTATCCACATGGCTGATTGTTGTGATATGGCAGCGCACAATTTACCATAGACTGGAGATTCTGGACATTAATCTCTAACGACGAAACATACAATGTTACTTGCGAATTGAAGCCGGTGGCATTTAATCCTCTGCCTTAACTCAGCACAGATTGGGGAATCAGAGCTAGTATGACATAAACCTTGCTTTTGATATAGCGCCTTATCACATTGTTGAGACGTCTCAAAGCGCTTCACAGGATATACTGTAAAGTCAATTGACTGTATTCTGTGGGTGAAACGCGGCAGTTAATTGCCCACAGCAGCGTCCCACAAACAGTCGTGGATTGAGTGATAAAATTATTCTTTTTTTTGGAAGGGATTATTATCCTCGGAAAAGCGATTCTCCAAGCGACTAAGAACCGGATTCCTGCTTACTGCTAGCAAAACAGGGGCATGTGGGTGGAGTAAAGAAACTTGCCTAAGGCTTTGCCCTGTCCGGGAATCGAACCCAGGTCCTCTTGCTTGCGAGGCGAGCGCTCTGACCAGTACACTGTGGGCCTCCACATCATGGTCTTAACGTGATGTTTTTGGTATATCACCAAATTAGTGGGGGTTGACATTGGACCATTTGCTTTGCTGCCGTTTGTTAACAGAATTCCTGTCTCTCCCAGCAGGCCCATTGACCGTGAACGACCCCTTCGTGGCCGCGGAGGTGGGAGGGGCCGCGGGCGTGGCCGTGGCCTAGGCAGGAGCGATGGCTTTGACTCTCGTGGCAAACGTGAATTTGACAGACATAGCGGAAGCGACCGATCGTAAGTTGATAAAACAGTTCAATCGACCCGCCTCACCCTGTGCTGAGCAAAAACCTCACTCACCCCCAAAATGTTCATTTAGAACCTGTCTAGGTATAGGGGGTTTGGTCCCATAATACAACCTGGAGACGATGCGATGGAGATTCGCCAATATTGTCGCGGTTTTGAGACATAGGAACATGAGGAGGCCATTCAGCCCCTCGAGCATGTTCCGCCATTCTATAAGATCATGGCTGATCTATACCTCTACCCTAATTACCTGCCCTTGCCCCATTTCCCCTGTTATCCCCTGACCTAACAAATATCTATCCACCTCAGTCTTGAAAATGTGAATGGATTCAGCCATAATCCACAGCCTTTGGGGGAGTGAGAGATTTCTAGATTTCCACTACCCTTTGGGTGAAAAACTGTCTCCTGATTTCACTCCTAAATGGCTTCGCTCTCATTTTAAGATGATACCCCCCCCTGTCTTGCGTTTCTGTATAACGTAGTATAAAATATAACCAGAATTCATCCCTGTTAGATACTTGCTATTGTAATTTTTTTTTAATGATACAAAGGAGCTCGAGATGGGTTTTGTTTTAGTGTTTGACGTGCTTAAGCTACTACTTAAACAAAGAACCAATGGAACCAGGGATTTTTCTTTCTCTTTGTTGAAAGTAAATTGGCAATTTATTAGCTTTAAAATGTTGACCTGAAGAAAATGTTAAAGCTGTTCAACTGAGCGAGCGGATTGTGTTGTTATTGTTGTTGTGACAAGTCATCGGGAGTGAGTTGGTGAAATAACGAGGCGTTTTTTGACTGATGGTATTATAAGTACAATTGTGCATATACAGCAGATATATAGAGAGAATAGTTTCTCTTCCAGTAGCCTGAAACCTGAGGACAAACGTGGGGGGAGCGGATCACACAACTGGGGAAATGTCAAGGATGAATTCAGGTCAGTAGAAAGTCAAGGTCTGTTGCTATTAATGCTGCCTTTTTGATCCGAGAACCCTCTTATCCCATGTTCAGGCATACTCACCCGCACCAAACTCCATCCCCCCATCACACCAGTCCTCGCCAGGCTCCACTGGCTCCCTGTCACACATACTAAACTCCGTCCCCCCATCACACCAGTCCTCGCCAGGCTCCACTGGCTCCCTGTCACACATACTAAACTCCCTCCCCCCATCACACCAGTCCTCGCCAGGCTCCACTGGCTCCCTGTCACACATACTAAACTCCGTCCCCCCATCACAGCAGTCCTCGCCAGGCTCCCCTGGCTCTCTAGCACCGGACAGATCGATTTCAAAATCCTCACACTCGTTTTCAAATCCTTTCATGCCCTGGCACCTCCCTACCTCTATCCGACTTGCTTACTCCCGACTCCACTGCCTCCTGCACATCACTTATGCTTTCCATTCCACCATCGGTGGCTGCGCTTTCAGCCACTACTGCCCGAAATCTAGAAAAACTCTTCCTCTATTGCTCCGCCTTGCCCCTTCTCCATCTGAAGATCTTTATCTTCGACCATTTCTACGGTCACCTCCCCCCAGTTCGGCATTGTGCTTTGCCACTGTCAAGCGCTGCATGAGGGGTGCTATATAAATGCAAGATCTTGTTCTGATTTGTTTTCCCTCCCGTTATCGCAGCGATCTCGACCAGTCGGCTGTTACTGAGGAGGTGCCTGAGGGCGATGAACAACAACAAGTCGTTGACTCTGAAAACAAGTGAGTTCTTAAAACTGTTTGCTTTTTGTTTTCCCTCACTTCCAACCCTAACCCATCAACTCAAGATAAATATCAAGCATTCAGAGATCTGGAGTTGAATTACTTTCTATGGAAATAACTGGATGCCCAGAGCTGCTAGACATTGGGGTGTGAGCTACGCCTTGGACTGTGTGATAGCATAGTGTTTACATAGCACGTTTAACACAAGATCTTGTCAGAGTTTGAAGGCAGCAGTGGACATGTGCACTCTGCTCTCTGGCTCTTGGAATTGAGTTCATTTTGTGAGCAAAATGCGGCAGCAGCCAATTGTGCACAGCAGTGTTTGAGAAACAGTCGTGGATTGAGTGGCTAAGCGTTTTTTTGGAGGGATTATTACCCAAAAGTGATCCACCGATCGACTAATAACCGGGTTCCAACCGGGACAATGCATTTAAGCAAATTGGCTAAGGAAGCAGTGCCATGGCAAGTAGCCACACTGAGGATAGGGTACGTGTGAAGGACATAGACTGTTACAGGCTAGACCTTGGTCCCGCTAGCTCTCATTATGAATCTGTCCAGACCGATGTTATACCAGGAGATGAGCGGCGGTGGTGTATGTTGCGTGTTGCGACTAACTCTTCATAATGATTAGGGAGAACGAGGTAGAAGAGGTCAAAGAGGAGGCCCCAAAGAAATGACTCTGGACGAATGGAAGGCCATGCAGGACAAGGAACGCTCAAAGGCTGAGTTTAACATCCGTAAACCCAACGAGGGCTGTGACAGCAGTCAGTGGAAAAAGGGCTTTGTCTTGCGCAAGCCAAAGAGTGAGGAGGTAAGTGGCCTGAAACAATTCCAACAGCCAATCTGTCGAGTCTTGTGTATCGAATGTGGATCTGTTGTCGTTGCTTCCTTTAGAATTGTTTTCTTAATAAACTCTGGTTATGTCCAGGGCTATTGGTCTAGTAACTGTGCCATAGTTTTAACTGTCTTTGTATTGTACTAACTCCATTTAGGAATCATTCGAATGTAGTTTGGGGCCGAAGTTACACCGGCGCTACTGAAAACTGGCCGACCTTATAAAGTTTCCTATAAATTTAAAGTGTGTGATTTTTAATGGCCGTCAGTCTAAATGCATCATTCTTCTGGTTTCTCAGTAGCCCTTCAGTTTTTACACGTTTGTATCTCACTATGACTGATCGAAAATCTCTTCGGAAATAATTTTTTGCGTTTTTTAATTTGCTAGAAACGTTTTGAGAATGAAGCAGATGTCCATAGTTTGGAATTTACGGTAATATATTTCCTCTAACTTTGTGATTTTCAATTTTTTTTCGTATCGAACTGCCGTGTGCTTTGTAAACCTCATGAAAAAAAAGCCTCATTTTGTGTGTGGCTGCAATTTGCAACTCTCATCATTTTCTACTTTGAGACCTCTAAACCTCCTACGCTGTCAATGTTACTTGCTTGCAGTGGGCTAAGGCACGTTTTAGGTCGATGTTGCATGTTTCTGGTGAACTAATCCTTTTTTTTTTCCGGGTGAATAGTCGGGCACAGTGAAAGGTTTTTAACGGTGTGGAAAACTCGAGCCTTGCACAAGGCTTAGTGGTTGAATAGCGCTTAAACCTACTAGAGCCACCTAGATTCATCCATCCCTGTGTATTCAGCCTAAACATGCTTATTTAGAGAATCTTTTTAGGTTCATCAGCACTACCATTCAGCTGATCGATGATTCCTTGCTAAAGGCTAGTGGGTCAGTGAGTGAGGCGAAATGTGACCAGCTTGCTTTAGCCACGAGTACTATTGGAAGACCGGATCTTTTAGTCCTGCTAACGTTGTGTTTTCAGAGCATAAACATTCAAATTTATAATAATCCTTGCATTATTATAACTTGGCTTAACATTTGATTTCTTACTGCTGCCTGCCACACGCCTTGCAGAAATGTGCACCGAATATTTTAAAAATATATTAAAAAAAACACAGGCTTTTGGATAAATTCTGTCCCACTTTGTGTTTGACTCGAATCATTTCTACCAGCGCTAATACCACAATTCCTCGCTCGGTAATGACGCATTGAAGAACATAAGAATTTGCTGGCGAAAGAAGACTAAAATCCATCCAGTTCGCCTTTCACCATCCTGGCAGTCACTTGACATGTCGTGTCGTGTCCCAAATTATATACTGTATCCCCAGATATTATTTTCTAGTGGAAATCAATCTAATTTCTTGAAACAAACAACACTTTTTGCTTTCACCGCCTTGTCTCCCTAGGGAGCCTGTTTCATAAGCTTACTCCTCGCTCACTGAAGTAGTGTCTCCGCAGATTTCTTCTGAATCTACCCCCTTCAATCGCAGGCCATGTCCTCTGGTTTTAGTGTTCAGAACAAGATTGATTATGAGATTGGAGGTTTCAAACTATCCGTCTCAAATCGCTTCACAGGATATACCATCAAGTGAATCCACTGCATTTTCTGGGCGAAATACAGTATTTTGCGGGAGAAATACAGCAGCCAATTGCTCACAGCAGTGTCCTACAAACGGTCATGGATTGAGCGGCCAAATTTTTTTAAGGGATTACCGCCCTTGGAAAGTGAACTGCTTTCTATATGAGAACATAAGAAAAGCTAGACGAAAAAATGCTAGACGAAAAAAGACGAATGTTAAAAACTAACATTCTTTTCAATATCCTTGTGAGGCACTGAAAATAAGTTGAAATACGAATTGCTTTGGTTAGGAAGAGTGATTCTCTGCGTTTGCCATGTGCTGTTTCCTCTTTCCCCGAATGACATTTCGCAACTGAACAGGAGCTAATATCTTGCTGCCGGGTTAACACTGAGGTTTGGTTGATGTAGTGCCCCGGTTCCGTCAATAGTAATGTCACTAATGTGCTACACTTACTCTGTGCTGAAATTCAGCTCGCACTAACTAGATGAAACGAAACGCATGGACTTAATGTCAAACTTTATTGCAATGAAATGTCTAAACCGCTTCATGTAACTTCAGCAGCAGCTAATGTGTACACACCCAGTGATGAGGTGACCTGCCATTTCAGTTGTTTCATTTGTGGGTAAATACGAGTGAGTGAGGGAGGAATAAAGAGCTCTCTGCTCTTCAAAATTGTGTCCCAGAATCTTTTAATGTCCAATTGGACCTCAGTTTAACATGTTACATCACCTCCCTGTAAACACAGCGCTCCCACAGTTAATCCTGTCTGAGGCTCGAACCCACAATATTAGGATCCAAGAGTAATGACAGCCGAGTCGAGCTTGACGCTGAAATGTAACCAAACGTAAATTTGTCATGAACGTTTCAACCGTTTATGATTATGTAAGGTTAGCCATTTGTCAGTTTAAAAAAACCCCACCAAGTTTGTTGTAGCTGGACATCACTTTTTTGAGAGATCCCAAAGCACCTCATGGAATATACTGTAAAGCGAATTGGCTGTGTGTTTTGTGGACGAATCGCGGCCAGTTGCGCACAGCAGTGTCCCACAAACAGTCGTGGGTTGAGTGACCAAATTATTATTTTGTATTTTTTTTGGTGGGGGAGGGGGGCGATTATTACTCCCGGATTACCTCTGCATCTGCATGGCTATTTTTTGGGGTTATGGGTGGTGAACAGCATGCAATTGATCGATCTCTGGCTTGCACCGTGTAATTGTGTGATGGATGTTACACGGATTGTGCTGGTCGGGAAAGCTTGAACTGACGTCACTTTCACCAGGTCACCACTGACGAGTCCGGACTGGATCACCACTTCCGCAAGCCAGCCAATGACATCACCTCCCAGCTGGAGATCAACTTTGGCGACCTGGGCCGCCCCGGGCGCGGGGGGAGAGGAGGACGAGGAGGCCGTGGGCGAGGAGGAGGTGGAGGTGCCGGAGGAGGCGCTGGTGGTGGAGGAGGAGGCGCTGGAGGCGGACGGCCTGTCCGCGGGATGCGAGCTGACAAGGTACAAGGGTTTGGGCTGTTTTTGCGGTCCTCCTCGTCTGCTCCTTGTAGGTATCTCCACCCGCTGGCTCCGGCCTCCGGCTCGTCCCCGTGTCCTCCACCATCGGTGGCCGTGCTTTCAGCCACTAATCCCCCAAAATGCCGGACCACTCCTTCTCTATCCCTCCCCCTTGCCCTCTTCCTTCACCATCTTCAAGGTCGTGCACCTGAAGTCCTCCTTGTGCAGTCACCTGCCCCCCCACCCCCGGCTCGGTGTGGGGTTCGGTTACTGTCGAGCAGTCTGGGGCGTGAGGGGCGCTGTCTAAATGCAGGTTGTTGTTGCTAACGTTCATTTGGATTTTTGAAAGCTCCTTTGCCTCCAAGGCCCGGCTCAAGAGCCTCCTCTGCGACTGCGCCTTCGGTCACCCTCCTACACCCACCCTCCCTGCCCTTCCACCCCTCCTGATCCCAACCACCAGCTGGGGTGCAAATCCCTGACTGTCCAGCGCCTTGGGACGTCCTCCCGACATGAAAGACTCTGTGTAAAGGTCATTTGTCGTCGTCGTGGTTGCAATGGCTTCTTTAGAATTTGTAGTAGTTTGTAGTAATTCGCGTAAACCGGGGAATTCACGTAAATTCACGGCGCAAAGGAAATGACGTCTGTCGTGACCCGTTGACCCGGAAGTTAGTTTTTTTTAAAAAGTGGGGGATTAATTGGGTAAAGATTTTAAAGTCGCAGCACATTAATTTGAACAGAATTTCAGCAGGTCGCAAATCCTGAATATTGATTATGGGTTTCCGCCAACTTTATTGAAGCACGAGGTTGGTAGTGAGCTGCAATGCTGCGTTGCACCGTTAGGCGGCGCTGTCATCCATCCATTGAGTGTTCAGGAGAGGGTTAACGTGAGCTTTTCTTTAAAAGGAGGAATCTTACAGACAAAGATTCACAGTTAGAATAATAAAAACATAAGAATTAGGAGCAGGAGTCGGCCATTCGGCCCCTTGAGCGCTGCTCCGCCATTCGATAAGATCATGGCTGATCTTCAGACCTCACTCTGATTACCCGCCCTATCCCCATATCCTCTAATCCCTCTGTTTTTTAAAAATCTATCAGTCTTGAAGATGTTCAAGGACTGAGCATCTACAGCCTTCTGGGGTAGTGAATTCCATAAGTTCACTGCCCTCTGAGTGAAGAAATGTTTCCTCAACTCTGTTTTAAAAGGCTGACCCTTAATTTTAAGACAGTGACCCCTGGTTATAGATTCTCCTATTGGGGGAAACAGACCCTCAGTGTCTACTTTATCAGCCCTTTAAGAATCTTATATCTTTCAATAAAATTTCCCCTAATTCTTCTTACTCTAGAGAATACAGCCCCAGTTTATTCAGTCTATCCTCATAGGTCAGTTCCCTCATCCCAGGAACTAACCGAGTGAATCTACGCTGCACCCCCTCTGGGGCAAATATGTCCTTTTTAAATCAGGAGACCAAAACTGCACACAATACTCTCGGTGCGGTCTCACCAAGGCCCTACACAGTTGCAGCAAGACTTCCCTACTCTTGTACCCTAAACCTTTTGCAATGAACGCTAACTGCCGTTCACCTTCTTAGTTGCTGCTGCAATTTGAGACTGGTGTACAAGGACACCCAAATCCCTCTGAACACTAACACTAGGCCATTTGGCCCATCGTGCCTGTGCCCGCTCTTTGAAAGAGCGACCCAACTAATCCCACTCCCTTTGCAAATTCTTATCTAATTCCCTTTTAAAGAATCTGCTTCCTCCACGCTTTCAGGCAGTGCATTCCAGACCGTAAAAACTTTTTTTTAAAAAAAAATTCTCATCTCCTATTGACAGTTATCTTAAATCTGTGTCCTTAATGCAATAGAGAGCACAAATGGTGTGTTAATTGGTACTGGTCCCATTGTGTAAAAAAAACAGTTGTGGATTAAGTTGTCCAAACAGAATATCCTGGAGTCCTGTAGCTCAGTGGTTAGAGCACTCGCTTTGCAAGCGAGAGACCTGAGTTCAATTCCGGGCAGAGGGTGAAACCTTGGGCAAGTTTCCTTACTCCACACAGAGCCTAAGAATAATCCCTCCAAAACCAAAAACAATAATAAATTGGTCATTTTAATCTACGACTGTTTGTGGACATTGCTGTGCGCAATTGGCTGCCGCGTTCGCCCACAAATATACAGTCAATTCACTTTACAGTGTGTTCTGTGAAGCGCTTTGGGACGTCCTCCGACGGGAAAAGCGCTATATCAGATGCAAGGATTATTATTATTATCCGAATACACTGTTTTGCGGCCTGGTTTTGGGATCAGCGTGATTGTGTAGTGCTAGTATTGTGTCACCAGGGGGAGCCACTGAGGTGAATATCTTACTGTCACAGCCGAGGTCACACCCTCACGTGAGAGGGGATTAGATAATTGCGTTGTGTTTAAGTGTGTGGCGACAGATTGAGACAATGGGGTTAGAGGAGAGGACAACAAACCATCTACAATTACACGGCATCTTTCACATCGGGAGGACGTCCCAAGGCGCTGGACAGGCAAGGATCTGGAGGGGGAGAGGCAAAGGGGATGGAGTTCCAAAGTGTGGGGGCAGAGAGGCTGAAGCCCAGACTGTCGATGGTGGGGCGGGCGGGGGACACGGAGCAGGCCAGAGCCTGCTGAGCAGAGGGAACGGACAGGTTGATATGGTGTTAGCAGGTCTCAGAGGTAGGAAGGAGCAAGGAGTGGGGGAGAGAGAGTTGTCTGTTGTTGGTCACGAATACTCCGAAGCCTCCCTTCTGTTTCACACGTGCTAAGTTGTTGAAGCAGGAAATGGCTACGAACGTTACTATGGCAGCAAGGACAAAAATATCAGTGCAGGTGCCTTATCTACATCAGAATCTCGGGTGTCACTCGAGTTCCCGTGTACTCGCTTAAACCTAGTGCGCTGTGGTGGGTTTAACGCAACCACGTTATTTTCCTTCTCATCGAAACCTGGAGCCTGTTTAAAATGGCCACCGCGTTTATCAGAGACACTGAAGGTTACTGAGTTTGCAGTAAAGGCATTTACACCCCATTTTAAACGATAAAGATTTTTAAAGGCTGAATTTTCACAGGAGTCATTCCTGAGCTAACACAGTTGAGCTTACATTTTTGATACAGCGCGTTATCACGTCTTTGAGACATCTCAAAGAGCTTCACAAATATACTATAAAGTCAATTGACTGTGGTATATTTTGTGGGCGAAATGCGGCAGCCAATTGCACACAAGTGTCCCACAAACACTCGTGGATTGAGTGACCATATTGTTATGACTTAATAAAAAAAATTAATACATTTTTAATTTATTACCTCCCTCGGGTCCAAATCCCTGACTGTCCAGCACCTCGGGGACGTCCTCCTGACGTGAGACGTGCTATGTAAATGTCATTTGCTGTTGTTGGAGATAACCCATTTAACCTCTTTATTTCTTTCTTCCTTTCTTCCAGTCCAGCGCATCCGTTCCTAATGTCGACGACCCCGAAGCTTTCCCAGCTCTGGCCTAAGTTGGGGAAACGTCATCGGCAGCCTGGCCTGAAGCCCTCTCGAGGCCCCCTCTACGAGGCTTGCATGCTTAAGGATCCTTCTCAATTATATTAACAAAAAAAAAGAGACTGTCATCCATACCATTCACACCTATGGACTGTCCACAGGGAATCGTTCAAAATGGACTTCTCTTGCTACACAGAAGCAACAAATATTGGGATACTGGTTTTATATCCAACACAGTAATGGTAGCAGGAGAAAAAAAAGCTGTTTTCATAATAAATTTTCAGAAATTATGCATTCTTCATGGATTGATACTTTTTGTATTGCTACCTGAAAAGATGCATTTCCAAACTTGAAATATAGGTGTGAAGAGTGTGTACCAATCAGTGAGTGCCGTGTACCTGCTTTTATTTCAACAACCAACTCTTCGTCCGCTCTCGCTCGGCTAATCTCCCCCCACACACCCACCCCCAACCCCCATTCCCCCCCCCCCCAACCCCAAAGCCGGTAAGGTGCAGGATGTTCTCTGGGCCTGGTGGTGGGATCGTGGTGTGTACAGAAAGGTACTTGTTTCAAAGAAGATCGCTTGGTTCTGGTTGCAGGAGTCAAAGAGTGGTTATTTTGCTCTTTGTTCGTTCCCTTCCTCCCTTCTCTTCCTCCCCTCTTTCCCTCTCTCCCTTTCCTCTCTTCCCTCCCCCCGACAAATGACCCTCAATAGATTTATGTATTCTCCACTGTATTCTCTTTGTAAATATAGGCTGACTGGTGCTGTGGCTGATGGGGTGTTTGGTTGCTGTCTACCCTTTCCCTATAGTCCATCTATGTCTGTCTTTCTGTTTTAATTCACGCCCTCTGCTCCATTCTTCATGGTGTCTAAGATGCCCGGCTTAACTCTTTTCCCCTTTAATATTTTCTCTCAATTCTTTTTAGCTGTGATTCGGGACTTGGCTTCAACAGCCAGGTGACGTTGTGCATGTTTAAACATCCTCTGCATGCAAATAAAGACTTAAACGCATCTGTGAAAACCAACACCGTAAAGTTCTCATGTGGTGTCAGACTAGTAACTTGCCTGAAGTTACCGTCTTACTCCGTGGGAACTTTCACACAAGCCACTAAACATACCTGAGGTGTGAGTTGTCACAGCTAGAAAGTTCTACTATGTAGAAAGGTGATATGAAAGATGTTTAGTGGAGTAATATCTTCGCTGGGGTGGGTGGAGAGTCAATCCTCCAGTGAAGTGGTCCTGCCCTCTCAAGTGTTTCACTCACGAGCGAAACTACTTTAAAAGGTTTGTGATATTTGCCTGCACGGTCTTCGGCTGACATAAAGGGACCAAACAAATTGGCCGTGGAAATTCTCTCTGGTCGAACGTTCGTCGTGTAGTATTAATTGTCCGCGGTGTTTGTGGGGGAAATCAGCCAGGTAAACAGGCCGGAGGTAAAGCAAAGGGAGTGGTTGTTCTCTTGTCCGCTACCTACACTCCACAAACACTCCCACAGGGTATTGCACTCTCCCTCTCCAGCACTCGCTTCCAAAACCCTTCCCCTGCACTCCCTGCCCTCTCTGTCTTCAAAACCCTCCCTTTAAACTACCTCTTGATTGCTTTACCCCCTCTACTCCCACTTATCCCAGTATCCCGCACTAGCCTTGACAATAAATAGATACTTGCATTTGATACAGCACCTCATCACGTTGTCGAGGCATCTCAAAGTGCTTCACAGAATATACTATGAAGTGCAGTGACAGTGCATTGGAGAAATGCGGCAGCCAATTTGCGCACAGCAATGTCCCCCACAAACAGTCGCGGCATGAGTGACTGGCTGTATTGGGGGGGAATGTTGGCCAGGACACCAGGAGAGAGAAATTTGCGTTCTTTTCAAATCACTCCATGGGATCTAACATCGACCTGAACAGGCAGATAGGATCTCGGTTTAACATCTCATCCTGAAAGACCGACGCAAACACTTTCAGACATTCTGTGTAACTGGAAATTGCTGAGTGAATCTTTAAATATCCTAATTAAATCTCATCAGGGGCTTTCTGACTATTTTGTATCTGCTTATAAAAACATACCTCTACAGTGTTATGGTTTGGGGTACAACAACAACAGCTTACATTTGTATAGCGCCTTTCACGTCGGGAGACATTCCAAGGTGCTGGACAGACCTTTGATAGTCTGTGTCTTCGGTGGGAACTTTTGAAGGTTGCGATCCATTATGTAATACGGGACCCTCACTAATAATATTCCTTGCATTTGATATAGCGCCTTATGTTGTTGAGACATCCCAAAGCACCTCAGAGAATATATGTGTACAGTAGATTGACCGAGTATTTTTCGCAGTGTCTCACAGTTGTGGTGGATTGAGTAACCTAATTTTTGTTTTGAAGGGATTGTTATCCCTGGAAAGCGATCTGCCAAATCAACTAACAACTAAGCTCCTACTTACAGTGCATTTCGAGTATAAACAGTACGAAAACTTGCCTACGGTTTTGCCCTGCCCGGGAATCGAGCCCGGGTCCTCCCGCTTGCACGAATCACCCCGACTGCACAGCTTGTGAGGCCTGAAAAAATTGTGCGTATTTGGTTTGGATGTTCCCGTTGGTCTGTGTCCTGTGATCGTCACCCCCCCCCCCCCCCACCCCAGCCCGCACTGTCAGCTTGTTCCCGGGGAATGAATTGTGAAAGACGCAGTGCAGCAGTAACAATAACAACAACTTACATTTGTATAGCAACTTGCACGTCAGAAGGATGTCCCACGGCGCGAGCTGATGTGGTTAAAAGCAAAGCGATTTCATGTGGGACTGGAGTGATCTAGGTCGGTGGGGGCATTGAAACGGGAGCTGGATAGTACCGTTCCTGGGCCCTGTGTTGTGACGTTGGTCCGTTTTGTTGTCACAGCCATCAATGGCGTATCAAGATGCAAGCAGGTATGGCACACGGGGTTGGGGGAGGGTAACAGGTCTCTAGATATTCACAGCACAGAAATAAAACATTCATCGCATTTCTGAGTTTGTGCCTAACTTCCCACTGTCTGCTCTTACTCCCATTGCCCACCACCTGCAACATCGTACTTTATTTGGTTCCAATTCCTTATCGCTTTAAATGCTTCAGCGACTTTTAGTGCAAACTCAGAAACGCGGTGAATATTTAAGGCAATATCTATCCAGCTTTTCCCCCCCCTTTTTTTTTCTTCCAGTGATCAGATTAGTAGGATTAGAGCGCTCCAGTAGGAAATTGAGCACTAGATGCTATGAGTCAAACATCCTGTAAATCCTGATATATATATATATGAGTTAATGTGATTCATTTCTCTATTTAGGAACACAGGAGGCCTTACAGCCCATCAAGCCATGTTGAGATTTTTTTTTTTTTGCAATTTATTGCGCTTTTGCTGGTGCGAATTTTCTTCCAGTAACAATCCTCGCATTTGATATCGCGCCGTTGATCTGTCTCAAAAGCGCTTTCCAGAGTTTGCTGTAAAGTGAGTTGTGTATTTGGGTGAAATTTATCTTTATGAATTGAAAATTCTACAATCCTTAATCACAGGTCTCACCCCCCGCCCCCCCACACCTCCCAGGGGACCTTCTGTCTCCCTCCCGCTTTCTCTCTCTCTCGTTTTTCTTGTCGGCTGTGTTGGGCGAAGCGTGCCGTTGTGGTTTTGCAAATATTCTGAGGTTTGGGTGATGGAAACTGAGTGGAAGCTAAAGAACGTATTTCCTCGATGCTCTTGCCTGCCTCTTTCTCTCCCTCGCTTTTCGAACAACAATTTGCATTTGTACTCACGCAGGATAGTGGCCCAGAGCGCTTTGACAGTGGCAGTGCACGACACCAACCCGGTGGCGGAAGTGACTGTAGAGGCGGTCGAAGAGGTAGGTCGTCAGGCGCGCGGAGAAGATGGGGAAGGAGGGGGCGAGGCGGAAGGATAGAGGAAGAGGGGTCCAGAGTTTCGGAGCACAGTGGCTGAAAGGGCGGCCGCTGATGGTGGAACGCAGGGTATGAGGGATGAGCAGGAGGCTGGAGCCAGTCGAGATGAGGAGGCGGGTAGTGGGTTGGCGAGTAAGCCAGGGCTCTTGCTCATATTCTCGCCTACTCTCCACACTCAATTCCCAGCGGTGGTGGGGGGGGGGATCCCCTTTTATTCCCCTACACCATGACTCAATGAGAGGTGTTTAGTACAGTGCAGGGAGCAAATCTGGGGCTTTCCTGCCCTGTGTCAACTCAGTGCAGCACGTAACAGAGCACATGGCAGATAGAACCTGGGGTAGACTCCTTCATAGTAAATTCATACGTTCCTTGGCTCAATCTCTTCCCCCTTCAGAATAATAATCCTTGAGTTTTCATACAGCGCCTTATCACGTCATTGAGATGTCTCAAAGCGTTTCCCGGGATACACTGTAAAGTGAATTGACTGTATTTTGAGGGCGAAACGTGGCAGTCAATTGCGCACAGCAGTGTCCCTCCCACACACAATTGTGGATTAGGAACATAGGAACAGGAGTAGGCCATTCGGCCCTTTGAGTCTGTTCCATTCTGTTAGATTATGGCTGATCTGTACCTCAACTCCAAATACCTACCTTTGCCCCATATCCCTTGATACCCCGACTTAGCAGAAATCTCTCCACCTCGGTCTTGAAAATGTGAATGGATCCAGCATCCACAGCCTTTTGGGGAGACGGTTCCAGATTTCCACTACCCTTGAGTGACCAGTTTTTTTTTGTTTATTTGGAGGAATTATCAACCTCGGAAAGAGATCCGCCAATCGATTAACAACCGGGTTCCAGGTGTGTGGAGTAAGAAAACTTGCCCAATGTTTTGCCACCCAGAAAACTTGCCCAACGTTTTGCCACCCAGGTCCTCGCGCTTGCGAGGCAAGTGCTCTAACTACTGAGCTACAGGATCACTACAACATGAAGCTGCTGAGCTGAGCAACAAGCCACGGTGTGCGTGAGCTCTATGAGCCCCTGATCATGAAACAATGAGCAGTTTAACCTTTGTGGTCCAGCCGTTCAGATCTCCTCGCTGTGAATTCAACCCACAAACCTGAGGGGAACTGTGCATTGATAACATTTGCCATGTAACTCGCACATTTAATGGCAGAAGTAATTTCAGGCACATACAAGGACTTGTTGACAAATACGACAGCCAGTTTGCGCACGGTAAAGCCTCGCAAACAGCCAGTGGGTGAATTATTCACTATTTATCATAAAATAATAACTCTTGTGTTTGATACAGCGCCTTTCATGTTGGCAGGACGTCTCAAAGAGCTTCACAGGATTTACCATAAAGTGTAATTGCTGTTTGAAGGCTCATGTGACTGATTGTTTTCTGTGGGGAATAGTGCTATATAATCTTTTAACATAATCTGTTCCCTCTGAACAGGCAGACATGACTATGGTTTAATGTCACCTTTTCTGAGGGATGTCACCTTCAATGATACAGTGCACCTGATAAATATTTGTTAGGAAACGGTATCAAGGGATATGGAGCAAAGGGGAGTAAATAAAGTTAAAGTACAGATCAGCCATGATCTCACAGAAAGGCAGAACAGGCTTGAGAGGCTGAATGATCTCTTCCTGTTCCTACGTTCCAATTTTTTGGGGGGCAGCAGATGTCTGACACATTTGGAAACCCATCACCGTGCTTAAGAGTATCCAAACCAAGCTGAGATTTCCATGCATCTCACCTACATGTGGAAATCCCAGAGATAGATAGATCGTTCAAATGGAATCTGCACTCTCTCTCTCCCTGGAGGGATGCATCCTACTTATCTAATTCCAGAGAGTATTAGACACAGGCTGGCAAGAGCCAAGGGTTAGGGAGTTCATTGCATTGGGGTCTAACCAGCTAAAACTGCAGAGCTTGCCCTTGATATTGCTATCTGGCAAGCTTTCCCGCTGCTTGTCCAGCCAGGACCACCTTACCCGTTAGGGCTTTGGCTTTCAGGGTTAACGGGAGCTGAGCGGAAGGATTTCCTGCCCCCAATGATTGTTCCTATGGACGTTGGCCTAGTTGGGTAATTTGACGTTGCTTGGCGGGAGGGGGGGGAAAACAAGACAAAGATGGGTTTAATAGAGACCAGCTCCAAACATATATTTTACAAATATTATACAGATTTTTTTCCTCTCTCTCTTCCCTCCCTCTCTCTGGAATTGGTTTGAAAACGAAATCATTCCACGGGCGTCCCACAATCGATCTTCACCACATCCAGGGTGAGCTTCCCTCCCCAGGAGAATGGGGTCGGGGAGAGCGAGTGCAGAGACACGAACGGGAAGCAGTCCAGATCGCTGGAGCCCGGCTCGGAGATGTCATCGGGGACCTGAGTGAAGTTGGTGGGGATGTAACCCACGATGTGCTCTGTGGGGGAGCTGGAGGCTGAGTCCCGCTCCTCAGGGAGTTCTGTTCTGATGTACAGGCGAGGGAGCTGGCTCTGGTAGCCGGGCACATGCTCCTTGACACTCCACAGCGGGATGTTGTCTCCCTGTCTGGTGTCCGTGTCTGGCACTGGAGGGTGAGGGAGGGTCTGGGTCTCTCTCCCAGATGCTCGGCTGCTCCAGTCCATCTCCGTCTGGGCTCGGTTGCTGAGGAAAGGCAGCTCCGGGCTGCTCAGCGTCTCCTCTATGTTCACGGTCTCAGGATCCTCATAGACAGTCTGGCTTTGTAATGGAGGGAATTCCATCTTGCCCTGAGGGAAGAAAGGGAGAGCAGGCATCAGACTTGCTCGGTATTAGCAGATAGACAGTACACACACACCAAATCCAAAACATCAAGTTCTACTTCACCATTGGTTTGAGAGGTTGGAACCTCTGCCCGAGTGGGAGAGAAATACCAGCACCAAAACCCAGTACCAAAACAGCACCCGTTCCCTCCTCTCCCCCTCCAATAAGCCGATATTTTATAACAATGATAATAATAATAATAATTCCTGCATTTGATACAGCGCCTTATCATGTCTTCGAGACGTCTCACAGCACCTCACAGTGTAGTGACTGTATATTTTGTGAGTGAAACGCGACAGCCAATTGTACACAGCAGCGTCCCACAAATAGTGGATTGAGTGACCAAATTATTATTTTTTATAAAATTATTTGAAGGGGATTATTACCCCCGGAAAAGCGATCCGCCAATCGACTATCAAACCAGGTTCCTACTTACCGCTGGGTAACCAGAGGCGTGTGGAGTAAGAAAACTTGCGTAAAATTTCGCCCTGCCCGGGAATCGAACCCAGGTCCTCTTGTTTGTGAGGCGAGGGCTCTGACCACTGAGCTACAGGATTCTGATACTTCCAATTGCACAGAAATAGCATTTCAAATAAGCTTTTGTGGAGATCCAAGGGGACTTGAGACATTTGATGATAATCCTTGCATTTGATTAGGACCTTCAAAAATCAGGAGAATGTCTCAAAGGATTATATAATCACTGAATTATATAAAGTGTAGTTAGTGACTGTACATAGGTGACCTCAGCTACCAATTTGCACACAGCAATGTTCCCCCGAACAGCCATCAAATGAGTGACCAATTTTCTATTATAATTGTTGGCCAGGAGTTTGTGGAGCTCCTGACTGTGGGTGGGTTAGAAGACCCTGTCCTCACCCATGCCCACCTCCCCGTCTCTCCTGGTGGAGTGGGGGAGAGAGAGAGAGAACACTGTATTGCCTGAGGTGTTGTCCTTCGATAAGACGTGAAACTGATTCCCTTCTGCCTGTGATGCTGTAGGAAAAGAGAAGTGAGTTTCTCTCTCCTGGTGTCCTGCCCGACAATCCCCCCAAATACACTGGCGCTTCACCTGGGCGTGAGATGTTGCTTTGTGCACATCAGCTGCGTCGTTCAAATATTCAGTCACTGCACTTGACAGCAATTGCCTGAGAAGCCCATTATTAATAAGTATCACGATGAATAATCGTTAATAACGAATGTTATTAATAATGAGTCAAGCAAGTTCTCATTGATAAGATTCCTTGTATTTTTCCTCGCACCTCTCACATTCTGACAACTGAATAAAGGGCTTCACAGGATTTTACCGTAGAGTGCAGTGACTGCAGTTGCAGTCAATTTGCATAGATGGTGATGTGACGTGAATGACCAATTTTATCCAGGGGATTTTTAGCCACAAGATAACACCTTTCTTTCTCTTTGAGTTGTCCTAATGTTACATGTGGTGACATAATACACAGGGAATATTAATTTGTGGGGGGGTGACGAAGGGTAAAACTCTCCAAGGTTTCTCCCCATCTGCTGTCACGAAGCCCTTTTCTGTGAATACAGAAACCTCTGGGTTTAGATGGAGTTTAATTGGAGCTCTAATTACTGTCTGGTATCGTGACTGCTTTTGAGGTTCTACAACAAGGACACACGCAAACTGTCGTGAGCTGTTTCTGTGGGGGATTGGTGGCCAGGACACGGGAAAGAGGGAAACTCCCTTCTCCTTTCAAATAGCATCACAGGATCTTTGAGGTCCACTTGACCAGATTGATCGATGACTTAACATGTTCCTGAGATGGGTGCAATGGCCCTTGTGTGGTGCCCCCGCCTGGCGGCCAGAGTAAACACTGCAGCCTCTTGGACAGAGCAGAGAAAGAAAGTCACATTACGACGTCAAAGTAATAACAATACTAATCCTTGCATTTGATGAAGCGCCTTATCACATCTTCTAGACAACTCAAAGTGCTTCACAGAATATACCGTAAAGTGAATTGACTATATTTTATCGGCAACACGCAGCAGCCAATTGGGCACAGCAGCGTCCCACAAACAGTTGTGGACTGAAGTGACCAAATTATTATTTTTTGAAGGGATTATTTCAAACGTAGGGCAAGTTTCCTTACTCCATATACCTAAGTTTAATCAGCAGTAAGTAGGAACCCGGTTGTTTGTCGATTGGCGGATCGCTTTCCCGAGGGTAATAATCCCTTCAATAAAAAGAAATAAATAACAAATAATAACTTGGTCACTCAATCCACGACTGTGAGTGGGACACTGCTGTTGGCTGCAATGGCTGCCGCGTTTCGCCCACAAAATATACAGTCAATTCACTTTACAGCATATCCTGTGAAGCGCTTTGAGACGTCTCAACAGCGTGATAAGGCGCTATATCAACCGCAAGGATTATTATTATAATTAAATAGCAGGCCGGCTGGGGAGGGGTTGCAGAGATTCCCACAGAGATCTTACCCTGCTAGAGGTGTACTGCTTTGCCCAGGAGCAGTTTGCTGGATCGGGGATCTCTCTGATGTACAGCTTAGATGTGATCTTAGTAAAAACGGACAGAATTCTGTGAATGAAAAATACAGGAGACAAAGAGACAGTTTAAAAATCTAAGCAAAGCCAGCCAATAACCATAAAAATAATAATACTAGCAGGTGGGTAGAGAAGAAATAGAGTTTCAATAGGTTAGTTCTAGCGCTTCGAGACTCTATCCTATGTGAACAACAACAACAAATGACATTTGCACAGCGCCTTTCATGACGGGAGGACGTCCCAAGACACTGGACTGACAGGGATTTGCACCCGAGCTGGGGGTTGGGACCAGAGATGGGTGGGAGGATGACCGAAGATGGGGTTACAAGAACACTTACTGTTGACGACCATAAAGGTTGTGTAAGATTATATTTTGATGTTTAATGATTTTAGGGGCTTTTAATTAACCTTTATGTACATCTAGAATGCATCCTGCCCATAATCATTTAATAAGGTAGGTTTGAGTCAATGACTAGTTAAAAGTAGCTTTGCTGGACGAGGTGAGGTTAGCTTCTGATTGCATTTCATATTTTCCAGTGAAGATGTTCACTCCTCTGAGATAATCCAGCAATCGGGTCCTTGCCTATCTCAAGGCTAAGAAACATCTCTCTTTTTCTCTGTGCAAAGAAGCCTGCGAAGCGTGGGGGCTATCTCTGTGACAAGGCGAGGTGGAGTTAAAGATACATAAAAGAAAGCTGTAGCTTTGAAAGAGTTGGAGTTGTGTAGAGGATCAATGCACTTCCCAGTGGAATCGATATCTATTCTACTGTATCTACGCAGATGTACAGGGATGAGGGGATAAACCTCCAGTAAGAAAGTGACCATTAAAAGGGAAAGAGGAGGAGTATTGAAGTCCATAAGGAAGGAGGGCTTTCTCCAGTCAGAGTGTGGTGTTATTTAATAATAATAATAATAATAATCCTTGCATTTGATATAGCGCTTTTCACGTCGGGAGGACGTCCCAAAGCGCTTCACAGAACACACTGTAAAGTGAATTGACTGTATATTTGTGGGCGAACGCGGCAGCCAATTGCGCACAGCAATGTCCCACAAACAGTCGTAGATTGAAAAATGACCAATTTATTATTGTTTTTGGTTTTTGGAGGAATTATTATTAGGTGTGTGGAGTAAGGAAACTTGCCCAAGGTTTCGCCCTCTGCCTGGAATTGAACTCAGGTCTCTCACTTGCAAAGCGAGTGCTCTAACCACTGAGCTACAGGACTCCACTGCAATCATTTTGATTGATATGCTGGATAAAACTGTATGATGATGTGATAATATAATATCTACGTTAATGCAGAGACTGTTGCTGCTTGTCTGCAAATAAAGACCTTTGCTTTGAATCTCTGTGCCAACTCGTATTGAGTAAACCGGGGCTCCAGCAAACCTAACAGTTGGCTACCAATGGCCCTAGTGAATTAAAAATCTTTGATTTAACCTCTCTACCGCAAGATACCCAGTCACCGCACTTTAAAGTAAATTTTGTGAAGCGCTTTGAGACGTCTCAATGATATCAAATGCAAAGGTTATTACAACAATAATATTGCATTTAAGTAGCGCCCCTCACATAGGGTAGGGTCCCAGAGTGCTTGACACTGGGGGAGCACGACACCGAGCGGGTGGGGGGGTGAGGTAGTGGGGGGATGTGACCGTAGACACAGTCGACAAGGAAGGTCCTTGGGCACGATCTGAAGATGGGGAAAGAAGGGACAAGGCGGAGGGATAGAGGAAGAGTGTTCCTGAGTTTTGATGTCGGGAGGACGTCCCAAGGCGCTGGACAGTCAGGGATTTACACCCGAGCTGGGGGTTGGGATCAGGAGAGATGGCGGGGCAGGGAGGGTGGGGTGACCGAAAGCGCGGTCCTAAGAAAATTGACTCGGTTGGCCAACTGTGATGGTTGTCCAAAACTACCTGAGTGGATTGAATTCAAGAACTATATTTGAACCTCCCACCTCAGCCCCTCCCCACGCACCCCCCCACCCCCCCACCCCGTCCTCCCACACCCCGGTGTCAACCTCCTTACTTGTCTCTGGACAGAGGGCACATGCAGATGACAGCGGTGAGCCCAGCGAAGGTGAACGTCACTCCGATCACCACCTTCAGGATGAGGTTGATGTCTGAGCTCAGCACAGACCCTAAGGGGAGAGAGAGGAGGAACACAAGAACACTGAAAAACTAGAGACACAACAGCCGCACCTCACCCTCAACCCTCCCCACCTCACCTCAGACAGGTTATGTAGCGCTTAACGACCAGAAAATGGGAAGGGGAGAGTGAGGGAGGGGCAGGCAGCATTAGGTAGGGTGTGTCACTTGAATCGGATCTATAATAATAATATAATAATAATCCTTGCATTTGATATAGAGCGCCTTATCACATCGTTGAGACTTCATAGAGCGCTGCGCAGGATATACTGTAAAGTGTAGTGACTGTGTGTTTTGTGAGCAAAACACAGCAGCCAATTGCAGAGACTGACTGAGCTGGGATCGGCTGGGACTGGCGCTGGGTTGTGGGGGGGAAGGTATTTCTCAGGGTTTGCGGCTCTGTTTTAGCCTCTTACGGTCTTGGCTGATGTACAGCTGAATCCTCGCTCCCTTCTGTCCCTCTCCTACTCGGGTCGATGCTGTCATCCACACATAGTATGTCCCGGGCTTGAGATCCGGGATAGCGTATCTTCTCTGGGAAACCTCGATGGGCCCTGAGATCACAAGACAACAACCCTCACACTCAGTTCAGAGCCTGGGACAACAGCAACTCTCCCAAGCCCCTCACAGGGAATCACAGAATGGGAACCACGTGAAATTGTAGGGGAACACGGCAGCCAATTTACATACATCCCACAAACGGCCATGAGGTCAAATAGTCGCTTAGAGAGATATAGCACAGGACCAACTAGTCTGCGCTAGTTTATGCTCCTCACGAGCTTCCGATTTCTCTCATCTATAATAATAATAGTAATAATAATAATAAATATAATATATAATAATAATCTATAATAATGCTTGCATTTGTTATGGTGCCTTATCATGTCGTTGAGACGTATCAAAGCGTCTTAAAGGGAATTGACTTGTGTATTTTGTGGGCGAAACGCGACAGCAAATTGCACACAGCAGTGTCCCCCACACAGTCGTGGATTGAGGGACCAATTTCTTAATATTATTATTACCCCCCAGAAAGCAATCCGCCAATCGACTGACTTCCCGGTATACAGAGGCGTGTGGAGTAAGGAAACTTGCCTCAAGTTTGGCCTTTATTCCCTTCTCCCTCGTGAACTCATGCAGTTTATCTGGACATTGCAGATTGTTGCTCCCTCACCCCTCACTCGATTTCCAGGACATATCCCAGTTATTTCTCTGTAAATGCCTTCCCGTCCCCTCCCATCTCCCCCCCACCACCCCTTTTCCTCCTTCCCCCCACCACCACCACCCATCTCTCTTTCCCCCATCTCCCCAAACCCATCTCTTCCCCCTGTATCTCCTTTCCCATCTCCAACACCCCTTCCCCCACCACTGCCGCTTACCATGAGAGACGGGCTTTGAGTTAGGGTTCTCCTCAACGTAAACCGTGTAGCTCACAATGCAGCCTAACTGGCGGTCGGGTGGAATCTCTCGCCACAGGATCACGTTTCCTTGCACGGTCTCGTAGATGGACGGGCCAGACAGCGGCGTTCCTTCACATAAACATTTTGTTAGCCTGAGCAGGAGGCATTCATCCCTCTGTTCTGGTGCTCGCTCCCCCACTGGAGCTCTCTACTCTAACCCCATTCTCCCGCTCTCTCCCCATCATGTCCTTGCAGGTGTTGACTCTCTGGATCTCTGCTAAATCTCAGCTCTTTACTCTCTCTCTCTCTCTCTCTCTCTGCTGTTAAAATCTGTCTTAGAATAAAACTCATTGTGACAGCAGCTCCACCCTGTAGCCCCCCTCTCCACCCCCCACCCGCGTCCTCCCCATCGCTCTCCGCAGCTCAGACTCACCCTCAGTGTGTGTGAGGGGCTGAGACATTGCCCTGGTGTGAATGGCGTCGTGTGAGTTGCTGTTTACCTTCCTGTAACGCTGAGTAAGTCAGGGTGGAGACGGGCTGGCTCACTCTAGCCTCATACACAGCGGAGACTGAGATCTGAAAGCAGCTCCTCGCTGGGACATTCTCTGTAACGCAGCGACATAACAACATTAATAATCCTTGCATTTGATAGAATTCAATCCACTCAGGCAGTTTTGGACAACCATCACGTCACTGAGACGTCTCAACGCGCTTCACAGGATATATCCTCAAGCGAGTTGATTGAATATTTTGTGGGCCAAACGCAGCAGCCAATCGTGCAAAGTAGCGTCCACCGAACAGCCCTGGTTTGCGTGATCAGATTATTGTTAAGAGATTCGCCAGTTGACTAACAACCGGGTTCCTACTTACTGCTCGGCAAACAGAGGCGCGTGGAGTAAGGAAACTTGCCCAAGGTTTCGCCCGGCCCGGGAATCGAACCGAGTGCTTTAACCGCTAAGTTGCAGGACTCTTTTAATCACGCACTCGCACACAGCTGCTAGTTCTTTAAGCAGACGCACTTAAGGTCCGGGGCACCGCTGCAAAATAAACTTACTGTGAAGTGTAGTGACTGTGTGTCTCGTGGGATAGAGCGGCAGCCAAGCCACGCACAGCGACCTTCCCCTCAAACAGCCGTGAAAGTGAACGAGCGAGTTGTTATTTGGGGAGAAGGGGGGGGGGGGGGTGATTGTCGGTCAGGACACGGAGAGAGAGAGAGAGAGATGCCTTACCTATGAACGCCGAATGGTTGCTACTGTTTAGTTTCATCCAGTTGACGTCGCTGTTGGAACCCGCCAACACCCACTCCACCACGTACCCGCCCGACATGGAGCTCTGCCATCCCGCCGGCTCCAACCACTCCGCCCGCATCCGGTGTCCTCCCATCCACGTGGCAGAGACTTTGCGCGGGGCAGGAAGATCTGTCAACAGGTTTCGGGCACAAAATACACAGTCACTACACTTTACGGAGTATCCTGCGAAGAGCTTCGAGATGTCTCAACGACGCGATAAGGCGCTGTATCAAAAACTCTTCTCTTACCTGGGGAGGGCTGGATGCTGAGCGAGCTGGGTGGGGAGCTGCCCTGGGAGTTATACCCCGTCACGGTGATGGTCCAGGCTGCCCGCGCCGTGTCCCCCGGGTACCAGGTATTGGTGGTGTGCCCGGTCACTATCTCAGCGTTCCCCCGCAGAGTCACGTTGTAACCCAGGATCTTGCCTCTGCTCTCAGCCGGACTGAAGGGCTGTCACGCACACACACACAAACACGTCAACAAGTCACAGACATCACCCCCACCCCAGCACAGGTTGTCATCAGCCCATCGTGTCTGTGCTGGGGCTCCCTCCCCCACTGGAGGCTCTCCACTCTAACCCCATTCCCCGTTTTGTCTTGAAATTTAACATGAAATAGAATCGCGTAAAATCCTTCAACCCAATTACTTTGGGCTCCAGTTTTCTCTGGTGTCAGCCTGGCTCTGCCTCGCCCCGTCATTCATAAAGTCGCGGGTTCGAGCCCCCACGTCAGGGACTTTGAGCTCACAGTCCAGACTGACGTTCCAGAACATTGCTGGGGGAGGGGGAAACCCTGCACTGTCAGAGGGCGCCATCAATTGGGTGAATCCTCTCCCTCCCCCACCCCCGGGTTTGGCATTGAGCTCCGCCACTGTCGAGACGCTCTGGGACACTACCCTGCTTGAGGGGCGCTGCGAAAATACAAGTTGTTGTTGTCGTCGTACCTTCCACAGGACGGTGACTTGTGGGCTGTGAGGTTCTGAGCGGTTGACCATGTACCAGATGTCCAGCTGCTTTGTTGGCACTGTTCAAAGGGGGAAAGGAAAGGCACTTAGTGAGACGTCAGTCAACGGGAGACACATCTCAGTCCTGCGTCCAGTCAGGCTCTGCCTCCCTGACACCCCCTCTCTCCTCCTACTCCCCACACACACACCCTATACACACACACACTCCCCTCTCTCTTCTTACTCCCCACACACACACACACACCCTGTATGCTCACACTCGCCTCTCTCCTCCTATTCCCCCCACACACAGCCTGTACACACACACTCCCCATCTCTCCTCTTACTCCCCACACACACAAACATGCAGAGGAGATTTACGAGGATGGTATCAGGAATGAGGGTCCTTGATGATGAGGAAAGGCTGGAGAGGCCGGGATTATTCTCATTGGAGCAGAGAAGGTACGAGGAGATCTAATAGAGGTCTTCAAAATCATGAGGGGATTTGATAGGTTAGAAAGGGAAAAACTGTTCCCACTGGTGGTTGTGTCGGTGACTCGAGGTCACAGATTCAAAATAGTCTCTAAAAGAAGCCGAGGGGAGGGGAGAAGAAATATTTTCACGCAGCGAGTTGTTCGAATCTGGAACGCATTGCCTGGAAGGACGGTCGAGGCCGATTCGATAACTACTTTTAAAAACGCGGTGGACGGGTATTTGAGGAGGACGGGTCTGCAGGGTTACGGGGAAAGGGCCGGGGAGTGGGATTGACGTTACATTGCTCGTTTCAAAGAGCCGCACAGACTCGATGGGCCGAATGGCCTCTTTTTGTGCTGTACGATTCTACGATTCTATAATTCTATGCTCCCTCTCCACATATATGTACATGTTGCCGCCTCTTCCCCATACTCCCGCAGCAACACACATATACACACAAACATATACACACGTGCACAATCAGACACACACACTCACACACAGACATCCTCCCCTCTCCTTAGATTTTTTTCATATCAGCCCATTCTCCAATTCCTCTTTGAAAGCTTTAATGGTTTCCGCCCTAACCCAGCATCGTTCTGTGTATAAGTGTGTATAAATGTGGGTATGTGTATGTGTTGTGAGAGTGTGTGTGAATGTGTGTGTGTGTGTATGAGTGTGAGAGTGTGAGTGTGTGTGTGAATGTGTATGTGAGTGTGTATGAGTGTGTGAATATTTGTATGTGTATATGTGTGAGTGTGTATGTGTTTGTTTGTGTTCCACCGCCTTGGGACGTCCTCCCGACATGAAAGGCACTATACAAATATAATTTTGTTGTTGTTATTTGTGAGTGTGTGAGTTTATATGTGAGTGTGTGAGTGTATGTGTGAGTGTGTGAGTGTATATGTGAGTGTGTGAGTGTATATGTGGGTGTGAGTGGGTGTGAGTGTATATGTGAGTTTGTATGTGTGTATGAGTGAGTGAGTGTGTATGTGAGTGAGTGTGTGAGTGTGTATGTGAGCTGTGTATATGTGAGTTTCTATGTGAGTGAGTGTGTGAGTGAGTGTGTATGTGCGTGAGTGAGTGTGTGTGTGTGTATGTGAGCGTGTGTGTGTGTGAGTGTGTATGTGAGTGGGGGCCAGGCCCCAGGATGCCCAGGATGCCCATGAGGTTACCAGTGTTCCCACCACACTCAACGAGGAAACGCTCTCAAGTGTTGCTGTACCTTTGCTCGGCTCAATGTCACCCCTCGCCTACACTCTCTGGTCGTTCCTGTACCACACAGTGATGCGGCAACTATCATCCTCCCCCGCTCTCCCCTCCCTCGCTCCCCCTCCCCTCCCTCGCTCCCTCCTCTGTCGCTGCTGCTTCGCTTCCCCCTCCTCCCCCACGAGACTCTCTGATTGAGATTTTCACACCTCTTACACCATCCACTCATTTGTTGCTTCCACGCGTCAGAAAGAAACAGATGAGTTCAGTAGGTCTGCTCTCACAACGCTGTGAGCTCAAGTCACACACACGCACCCACACACACACCGCCCTAGTTATACAGAGTCTCACACACACACCGCCCTAGTTATACAGTCACACACACACACACACCGCCCTAGTTATACAGAGTCTCACACACACACACACCGCCCTAGTTATACAGTCACACACACACACCGCCCTAGTTATACAGAGTCTCACACACACACACACCGCCCTAGTTATACAGAGTCTCACACACACACACACCGCCCTAGTTATACAGTCACACACACACAGACACACCGCCCTAGTTATACAGAGTCTCACACACACACACCGCCCTAGTTATACAGAGTCTCACACACACACACCACCCTAGTTATACATAGTCTCACACACACACCACCCAAGTTATACAGTCACACACACACAGACACACTGCCCTAGTTATACAGAGTCTCACACACACACACACACCGCCCTAGTTATACAGAGTCTCACACACACACCGCCCTAGTTATACAGAGTCTCACACACACACCGCCCTAGTTATACAGTCTCACACACACACACCGCCCTAGTTATACAGAGTCTCACACACACACACCGCCCAAGTTATACAGAGTCTCACACACACACTGCCCTAGTTATACAGAGTCTCACACACACACCGCCCTAGTTATACAGTCTCACACACACACACCGCCCTAGTTATACAGTCTCACACACACACCGCCCTAGTTATACAGTCTCACACACACACACCGCCCTAGTTATACAGTCACACACACACACACTCCGCCCTAGTTATACAGTCACACACACACACCGCCCTAGTTATACAGAGTCTCTCACACACACCGCCCTAGTTATAGAGTCTGACACACACACCGCCCTAGTTATACAGTCTCACACACACACACACACACCGCCCTAGTTATACAGTCACATACACACCCACACACACCCACACACATCGCCCTAGTCATACAGAGTCTCACACACACACATGCTCACATGCTCTCACACACACGCGCACAAATCACACACACACCTCACAACACACACAACCCGAGTCATATGGAGTCTCACACACAAACACGCGCACAGTCACTCACACAAACACATGCACACGGAGTCACACACGCACACAAAATCACCCACACACAGTCTCACGTGCATAAAAATCACACACCACACAGACACAGGCCATGGGTTGGAGAGTCTGTGGTGGTTTCTAGGCCAACAATCACCCTGGAGCAATGGCCCAATTCATCACCGTGCGCCTGAGAGATGTTGCTCCCCACTACCCCCCTTCGCCCCCACACCCACACCCAGTGTGAGAGGCTGAGCCGCGCCGAGACCTCACCTGCCTCTGGCGTCCGGCAAATGTAATCCCGGCTCCAGTCGCTCCACAGCCCCTGACTGAAGCAGCAGCGTAGTTGGAAGGTGTAATTGGAGAAGGGCTCCAGCCCCCACACCTTACAGTGGGTCCCGTTCTGTACCTCCTCCTGTGAGGTTAGAGCCATGAGAAACCCATCAACAATCATAACAACACACACCCCCATCGCCATCAATACCAACACCACCAACACCACCAACACCACCAACACCAGCCCCACCAACACCACCAACACCAACACCACCAACAACACCAACACCACACCAGCCCCACCAACACCAACACCACCAACACCAGCCCCACCAACACCAGCCCCACCAACACCACCAACACCAACACCACCAACAACACCAACACCACACCAGCCCCACCAACACCAACACCACCAACACCAGCCCCACCAACACCAGCCCCACCAACATCACCAACACCACCAACAACACCAACACCACACCAGCCCCACCAACACCACCAACACCAACACCACCAACACCAGCCCCACCAACACCAGCCCCACCAACACCACCAACACCACCAGCCCCACCAACACCAGCAACACCAGCCCCACCAACACCACCAACACCAGCCCCACCAACACCAGCCCCACCAACACCACCAACACCAGCCCCACCAACACCAGCCCCACCAACACCACCAACACCAACCCCACCAACACCACCAACACCAGCCCCACCAACACCAGCCCCACCAACACCACCAACACCAACACCACCAACACCAACACCACCAACACCAGCCCCACCAACACCACCAACACCAACACCACCAACACCAACACCACCAACACCAGCCCCACCAACACCACCAACACCAACACCACCAACACCAGCAACACCACCAACACCACCAATACCACCAACACCAGCCCCACCAACACCACCAACACCACCAACACCAGCCCCACCAACACCACCAACACCAGCCCCACCAACACCAGCCCCACCAACACCACCAACACCAGCCCCAGCAACACCACCAACACCAGCAACACCACCAACACCAGCCCCACCAACACCACCAACACCAGCCCCACCAACACCAGCCCCACCAACACCACCAACACCAGCACCACCAACACCAGCAACACCAGCCCCACCAACACCACCAACACCAACCCCACCAACAACAACCCCACCAACACCAGCCCCACCAACACCACCAACACCAACCTCACCAACACCAGCCCTACCAACAACATCAACACCAGCCCCACCAACACCAGCTCCACCAACACCACCGACACCAGCCCTACCAACACTACCAAAATCAGCCCTACCAACACCACCAATACCAGCCCTACCAACACCAGCCCTACCAACACCAGCCCTACCAACACCAGCAACACCAGCCCCACGAACATCAGCCCCACCAACACCAGCCCTACCAACACCACCAATAACAGCCCTACCAACACCACCAACACCACCAAACCAGCCCCATCAACACCATCAACACCAGCCCCACCAACATCAGCCCCACCAACACCACCAACACCAGCGCCACCAACACCACCAACACCACCAACACCAGCCCCACCAACACCAGCCCCACCAACACCACCAAAACCAGCCCCATCAACACCATCAACACCAGCCCCACCAACATCAGCGCCACCAACACCACCAACACCAGCCCTACCAACACCAGCCCCACCAACACCACCAACACCAGCGCCACCAACACCACCAACACCACCAACACCAGCCCCATCAACACCATCAACACCAGCCCCACCAACACCAGCGCCACCAACACCACCAACATCAGCCCTACCAACCCCACCAACACCAGACCTACCAACACCAGCCCTCCCAACACCAGTAACACCAGACCTACCAACACCAGCCCTACCAACACCACCAACACCAGCCTTACCAACACCACCAACACCAGCCCTACCAACACCACCATCACCAGCCCTAGCAACACCACCAACACCAGCCCTACCAATACCACCAACACCAGCCCTACCAACACCACCAACACCAGCCCTACCAATACCACCAACACCAGCCCTACCAACAACATCAACACCAGCCCCACCAATACCAGCTCCACCAACACCACCAACACCAGCCCCACCAACAACACCAACACCAGCCCCACCAACAACACCAACACCAGCCCCACCAACAACACCAACACCAGCCCACCAACACCACCAACACCAGCCCCACCAACAACACCAACACCAGCCCCACCAACACCACCAACACCAGCCCCACCAACAACACCAACACCAGCCCCACCAACACCACCAACACCAGCCCCACCAACACCACCAACACCAGCCCCACCAACAACACCATCACCAGCCCCACCAACAACACCAACACCAGCCTAACCAACTACACCAACACCAGCCCCACTAACAACAACACCCCCATCACATCATCATCACCAACACCAATACATGGAGTCCAGTAGCTCAGTGGTTAGAGCGCTCACCTTGCACGCGAGAAAACACGGGTTTGATTCCCAGACGGGATAAAACCTAGTCAAGTTTCCTTATTCCACATACTCTGTTTACCCGGCAGTGAGTAGGAACCCGGTTATTAGTCGATTGGCAGATCACTTTTCCAGAGGTAATAATCCTTCCACCCCACACACAAAAAAATGTGGTCCTTCAATCCATGACTGTTTGTGGGACACTGCTGGGCGCAATTGGATGCTGCATTTTTCCCACAAGATACACAGTCTCTACACTTTACCCCCTTCATGAGGTGGCACCCCTCTTCCTCTCCGACCTCTTCCCCACACCGTCACCCCCCCCACCCCAATGTGCTGCCTCCGCTCCACTGGCTCCGGCTTCCCACACATCCCTCGTGCCCTCTGTTCCACCATCGGTGGATGCACTTTCAGTCACTGCGCCCCGAAACTCTGGAACACTCTCCCTCTATCCCTCCGCCTCGCCCCCTTTCTACCCCATCTTCAGGTCGCGCCTGAAGACCTCCCCCCTCCCCCTGGCTCGGCGCCGTGCTCCGCCACTGTCACGCTCTGTGGGACGCTAACCCTGCGTGAGCGAGGGGGGGCTGTGCAAATGCAAGTTGTTGTTGTGGCAATTATAAATGACGGTGTATTATTGTGCAATGATGTATATTTTATTGTGTGGCTGTCTCAAAGATGTTATAAATTGTTACCTTGAGCCAGGGTTTGGAGGAGCGGCGAAGCTGGTATTGCAGCTGGAAGGTGTGGGAGTCGGGGACAGGCTCCCAGCTCAGCCTCGCTGCTCCAGAGGCCATGTAATCCACCCCAGTGATCACCGGGGGCCGAGGCCTCACTGTGAAAACACCAAAGATTGTTCAGAACCCGGCAGCTCGCGTCCTCTCCCCTTAGCTGATCAGCCTCCATTCCTCTCCCGGCTTCGTTGGCTCCCAACCCTCCCCGCCCCCCCAATTTACTTCCACACCCCAACAGCATCCAGAGGCTGTTACGGTTCCACAGTTATCGGGAATGGGTGTGGTGCTGGGGGGAGATGGAAAGGGGTGAGAGAGGGGGAGGGGGAAATAGAGGGGTAGGGTAGAGATGCAGGGGAGATGGGGTTTGGAGGGACGAGGAGAACGGGGGGGGTGAGGGTGTAAGTCGGGGTGTGGAGGTAAATTGGGGTGGGTGAGGGGTTGAGGCGAGGGGGAGGGGTGAGACGAAAGGGTGGGGGTGTGAGTCCCGGTGGGGGAGACAAGGTAGGTGGGGGGGGGTGGGGGAGGACGGAGGGTGGGGGGTTACAGTCCCAGAGAGTTAGAGCAGCCGGAGCTGGAGCTTTGGTGACCAAAACGTACCGATATCAGTGAATTGCTGGACGGCGGAGGAGAGATTGGCCAGGTGGTTGGAGACAGTGACCCAGGTTTCATAGTTGGAGCCCGGATTCAGGCTGCCCCCCGGCACACTTGTCCCCCAAAGCCCCCGCAATTCCGGCCTCGTCCACTCCCCAACATCCACAGCCGGTTTCCCCAAGAACTTGAAACAGTGAGACTTATTTCTGAACCTGTCGGTGAGACGTGGATTGTTTTAGAGACAGAAAGAGAGAGAGAGAGAGGGACAGACAGAGAGAGAGAGACAGACAGACAGAGAGAGAGAGACAGAAAGAGAGACAGAGAGAGAGAGAGAGAGCGACAAAGCGAGCGACAGAGAGAGACACACACACACACAGAGAGAAAGAGAGAGAGACAGAAAGAGACAGAGAGAGAGAGGATACAGATAGAGAATAACAATAATCCCTGTATTTGTTACAGCGCCTTATCACATCTTCGAAACATCTCAAAGCGCTTCACAGGATACACTGTAAAGTGAGTTTGGCTGTATATCTTGTGGGCGAAATGTGGCAGCACACATTCGCGGATTGAGTCGGGAAGAGAGAGAGGCAAATAGAGAGACAGAAAGAAAGAGAGAGAGAAGAGGGGTTGGGGGGAGGGTGTGGGTGGTGGGGGCAGAGGATTAAATCTACACTGGAAACAGTAATGATCTTCGCGTTTGAAACAGTGCCTCATCCTATCATCAAGACATCTCAAAGCCCTTCACGAGCTTCACTGTAAAGTGTGTGTTTGGCAGGTGAACGCAGCAATTTGGACACCGCGAGCGAGAGAGCGAGCGAGATTATCTGGGTGGTGGGGGAGATTGTCGGCCAGGACACCAGGAGAGAGAGAGAGAGAGAGGGAGAGAGAATCTCCCTTCTGCAGGGATGGGGGTCTTTAACATCCACCTGAACAGGGCACTGATGATGGGGAGGTGGGTTTAACGTCTCTGATAAGGCAGCGCTGGATGTGATTAAGCGCGGGCTGGGCTGAGGGTTGGGGTGGGGTGTGCTGGTGCTAGGGCTTGAGTGGGGGCTGTGGTTGGGGAGGGGGCTGGTGGCTGGGGTGGGTTGGAGATTGGAGGCTGGATTGGGCAGGGGACAGGACTTACCACAGCTGCTGGGTTGTTTTCAGGAAGGTGGGTTGCCCCGGGTCCCAGCGACAGGACACCTCTGCCTCCCTCCCATTCTGTACACACGTCAGATTTTGGGGCTGGTCGGGAGGCACTGAAAGGAGAGAATAATAATAATAATAATAATAATCCTTGCACTTGATACAGCGCCTTAACACATCGTTGATCAAAGCGCTTGACAGAGTATACTGTAAAGTGATTTGACTGTACATATCGTGGGCGAAATCCGGCAGCCAATTGCGCACAGCAGTGTCTCTGTGATCCTGCAAGTTAACTCAGAGTTTGTGAACTTTAATGTCTTCCTGAACAAACAGACAGGTCGTTGGTTTAACGTCTTATGTGAAGGATGAGAGCTCTCTGCTCTAACCCCATTCCCCTGCTCTTTTTCTCTCTCTCTCTTTCTCTCTCTCTCTCTCTCTCTCCCCATCGTGTCTGTGCTGGTACTCACATCCAGCTCTGACGTCCACTCCGCAGACCAGCTGTTCGTTGGTCTTGGCGCACTCTAGTTTGCAAGCGAAGCTGGACTCGGAGGAGTTGACCCTGTGGTGCCTGGCTGTCACCTCCGACCCCGACACCTGCTCGTTCACCAGCAGTTTGCTGTTGTCCAGGATGATTTTGAGACGGGGGGTGGGGCCCGAGCACCTGTCGTACGGCTCCTTCAATATACACGACACGTTGATCTCCGAACCCAGCCGGACCACCGTGGAGGGGCTGACTCGCATCTCTCCCCCCGTGCACGATCCTGCAACAATAGATTGCATTTATATAGCACCCCTCACGTAGGGTAGCGTCCCAGAGCGAGAACAAGAGAGAGAGAGAGAAAGAGGGAGAGAGAGCCCTTCGAAATCAGTTCCCACCCCAACCACCACTCCAGTCCTCCAGTACTGACTCTGACCAAATCACTCCTCTGTCCAGCTGTGGTAATCTTACACCTGGAGTACAGTGTCCACCTCTGGTCAGGCCACATCTGGAGTACCTGGAATGTGCATGTTTGAGATCTGGCGCACATGGGTTTAAGGCGGTGCTTACCCACTCCTTCCCTACACAGGAGGAGGACGTTCAGTGTGAGAAACCATCGAAATCCAGGAGTCTCCATCAGGGGCAGTGGCCATCGGCTATAGGTTTCTCCTGGAGAGAGAAAGAGATAAAGAGGAGTCTGAGTCCTGGGCTCCAGCATTGGATACTCCACTACTCCCTCTACCACCCACCCCCCACCCTGGAGACACCTTTATAGTAATAATCCTTGCATTCAATATAGCTCCTTATCACATCGTCAAGACGTATCAAAGCCCTTCACAGAATATACTGTAAAGTGGAATGACTGTATTTTGTGGGCAAAACGCAGCAGCCAATCGTGCCCAGGGTGTCCCACAAACAGTCATGGATTGGGAGACCAGATTGTTTTTTTGTGGGGAGAGATCAGGAAAGCGATCGCCAATCGACTAACAATCCGGTCCCTACTTCCTGCTGGGTAAACAGAGGCGTGTGGAGTAAGGAAACGCGCCTAAGCTTTCGCCCTACCCGGAATCGAAACCGGGTCCTTTTGCTGGCAAAGCAAATGGGCTAACCACTACGCTACAGGACTTTTACCTACCAGCCAGCAGGAGGTATCGGTGTTGGGAATCTGTTCTTCCACCACTCCTGGCTGCCTGTGCGTTCTCACTGCCCTTTCACACAGACATGCTCCTCAATTCAGAGCTGCTTAAAAACATCTCATCTCTCCGAAGGTTGTGAGAATGTGGAACGTACCCCACCCGCGCCCCCCCCCCCCCGTCACTCCCGGATAGTCTCCAACACATGGGAAGAATGGCCTCCTGCCTAGGATTCTGCTGCTACCTAACCACTTTCACACCTTCCTCACTCTTCCTTTACTCCTTCACTCTTCCTCCGTCAATCTTCCCCTCCTCCTAAACTCTACAGGAATCTTCCCTCTCTCCCCCCTTTGTTAAGATGGCTCTCTCTCCCACTGTCCCCCCTTTCTCTCGCTTTCATTATCCTCTTTCACGGTCCTTTATACATCAATCGTGGTCTCACCAGACCAAATAATCTTGACTCATCCTGTTGTATCTCAGCCGAGGTGCTGCCCTGCTCAGGCCAGAATTTCTATCTAAGCATAACCTTTACAGTAAGTTTTAAAAAAGCAGCATCACACCCACCAAATTCCCCAAATAAAACGTAATGACAAACAAAATTTCACACAGGGTAATTCCTGACAACCGAAGTGACTGTTTTGTCTTCTTGTTTGTAGGTAAACAAAGCAGCCCGACTGTTCCAGAAAGTTCCATAAACGTCCGTGGAGTAAAGAATCCATTAATCTGGGGGGGATTGTCAGGCAGGACATCGGGGGGGAGAGAGAGAGAGAGAGAGAGAGAGAGAGAGAAATTCCCTTCTCTTCACCAATGTTCTCATACGATCTTTAATGTCCACACGAACTGGGACAGAGCAGGACTTCGGTTTAACAAGATTTTCGTTCATCTAAAAGCCGGCAACGCAGGTTACAGACACATGCAAATTTTGTGTCTGGAATGCCCTCTCCCTGGAGGAACGCACCTTATTCCAACTGTGCAGCGTTCCCCCCTCAGAACTGCGCTGTAACCCCAGCCTGGACTGTGAGCTACAACAACAACAACAACAAGATTCCATTTATAGAGCGCCTTTCACGTCGGGAGGACGTCCTCAAGTCCCCAATGTGGGGCTCGAAACCACAACCTTCGTACCCAGAAGCGAGAGCGCTACCAACAACGAGGAGAATAACCGTACAAGCAACCACGATTCTGGATAACGACTTGGAATCACGCAGTCTAAGATGATGCTCCAATGCAGCACTGGAGGGGTGGGGGGTGTGTGTTGCATTGTTGCCGTCCTCCGGATGAAATCGAGGTCCTGCCTGCGACTGTTCAGTAAGAGATCCTGGGGCGCTATTCGAAAAGAGAAGGGAGTTTCTCTCTCTCTCTCTCTCTCTTCTCGCTCTCTCTTCCCCGGGGTCCTGGCTGACAATCCCCCAAATAAAATCGGTTATCTGTTTGCTGGTGGTTGGTGCGACATTGCTGTGCACTCGACAGTATGTCCTGCGAAGCGCTTTGAGATGTTTCAATGAGGTGATGAGATGCTAGGTCAAATGCAAGGATTACTGTTACTGCTGTTGTTAGTCGACTGACGGCTCGCATTCCCGGGGATAATCATTCCTTCAAGAAATAATAATAAATCAAGTCGCTTCAATCCACGACTGTTTGCGGGACACTGCTGTGCGCAATTGGCTGCCGCGTTTCCATGCTTAGAGGTCCCCAGACATCACACTGGAGCAGTAGAGAGTGTCCTGACTTCCTACAGATACGGGACAAGATAAGCAGGACCGACACAGCGGTCTCTTCTGTGCTGTAAATTTCTAAGGATCTAATTTAAGACAGAACAGAACATCCCCTCAGCCCAGGGACACAGTGCTCTCCATCGTCTCAGTCTCTCCCTCCCTCTCTCTTCTTTTCATCTCTTTGTTCCCTCCCTTCTTCTTCTTTCTTTCTCCCTTCCCCTCTCCCTCCCTTCCTCTCGCTCTCTCTCCCCCCCCCCCCCTTTCCTCTCTGTCTCTCTCCCCCCCCCCTTTCCTCTCTGTCTCTCTCCCTTCATCTCTTTCTTCCTCCCTCCCTCCTTCATCGCTCTCTCTTCCTCCCTCCCTCCTTCTCCCTCTCTCCCCCCCTTCTCTCTCTCCCTCCTCTCTTTCTCCCTCTCTCCTTCCTCTCTCCCTCCCTCTTCTCTTTATCTCTCTCTCTCTCTCTCTCTACTCCCTCCATCCCTCTTCTCTCCCCGTCTCCCCCTCCACCCCTCTTTCATCCCCCTCCACCTCTCTCTCTCTCCATCTCTCTCCCCGCGCCCCACCCACCCTCTCGCTCTCTCTCTCTCTGACCTTCCTCCATCCTCTCTCTCTCTCTCTATCTCTCTCCCCCCCTTCTCTCTCTCTCTCTCTCTCTCTCTGACCTTCCCCCCTTCTCTCTCTCTCCATCTCCCTCCCTCCCTCCCTCTCTGGGAGCCCCAGGCGGTTTAGGAGAGGATCAAAGCCCTGTTTTTACGCACAGACTCTGGTGCTGGAAACTCCAACATCAACCCATTGAGAAGTAGAAAAAAAAGCACATGGTCCTCATCAACCCAACTCACAGCCCAGAGAACAAATAAAGTCTCACACTCACCCTCTCTGAACTTTTATCACCAATCCCCGGCGATATAAAGTAATTTCCATGGGTGAAATGTCAGCAGTGAGATGGAGAGACTGACATGTCTTGTCTCTGCGTCTCTAACTCTTTCTCTTTCTTTCTCTCTCTCTGTCTTTGTCTCTGACTCTGTGTCAGGAAACTTTTTGTTGTTGAGCTGAACCTGTACGAAGTTGCTGAATGGTCTTCAATGCAAAAAAAAACCACGCTTGACATCTGCTAACAAGCTCGAATTGCCCCTAAAATAAAAAACACTGTCGTGTCTATTTTAGAAGCTGATAAACCGCACTCTTTCTCACCTCTTGTCACACAAGAGTCTGGTGGTGGTGGTGGTGGTGATGGTTCGCACAACATCATCAGAAACAAGGCTCAGCGAAGGGAGGGGGTTGTTGCTGTCAGTGTCTGGGAAATGGAAAGGTTTTTTTATTATTTCCGAAAAACCTCCTCGTACATCCCACACCCCCCACCCCACCACCTCACCCCCACACCCCCACCCCACCACTCCTCCCTACATTGGGAAGTTCTTGGAGTTTATTACTTTGGTGTCTGCCTGGCTCTGTGTGTACATGTGTGTGTCCTGTGTGTGTGTGCGCGCTAGCTGGTCTGCAAATTGCACAGTCGACAACAACTCGCATTCGTGCCAGTGGGACGACGCTTCCGACAGTCACTACACCTCACCGTCAAATCCTGCCCTGTTTGAGATGTCTTGACCGTAAAAAAACATAGGCGTTTATGGCGCAGGACAAATCGGCCAATCGGCCACGCTGGCTCTTGTAAGAGCAATCCTTTCAGCCCCAATTCCACCGCCCTTTCCCCATACTCCTGTGGCTGACTCAATTCAGATGTCTCGCCATATCCCTTATGAAAGCCAATCTGTGTTTTGCCTTGACCACCGCTCCAGTCACAGGGTTTCCTAGCCTAACCGCTCTGCGTGTGAAAACATTTCTCCTAGTCTTCCCGTAACTAACTATCTCCAATTGATGCCATCCAGTTACTGACTCACTCACCGTTGGAAATAATTTCTCTCTATCGACTCAATCAAAATCCTAATACTTTAAATGACATCAGCAATAGAGTGCTCAGTCAATCGCAAAGATTAATATTTTGTATTATTTTTGTGTGGGCGTGAAAGAGGTGAGCGGGTTCAATGAAAGGAACTCATGCGTCAACAAACCAGAAGATTTGGACTCATGGAACCAGTCAAACAACTACTACTCTTTGGATGAGACGTTAAATCGAGTTCCCCCATCTGTACCTGGTCAGGTGGACATCAAAGATCCTGTATGACTACTGGAAAAGAGAGGGAAGTTTCTTGCTCTCTCTCTCTCCCAGTGTATCTCCCAGAATAGTCATTCACCTCATGGTCGGTTGTCGGGCATGGCAGATTGGCAGCTGCGATTGCCTCTAAAATACACAGTCACTACACTACACTTGCACAATTTCTTTTCAGCAAATGACACAAAAACAAAGTTTCACTTCCAGTCACACAGGGAGATTATTCATTTGTATTTGTCACACCTACACCTACACCCGAGTTCAGGTCACACAGATTTACCAGTTGACGTGTGATTGCTTTCACCACTTTTGAATCCTGAATCAAGTTCCTTATCGATTGGTTAGCAGGGGCATCTGACCCATGCAGACACCCATTGCCTAAGATTCTCCAAACCAAACCAAACCAAACCATTGAGAGTTCCACGTATGTACCTTTTTGTCCAGTGCAGAGTGCCCTCACTCACCAACCTGGTTTACCCTTACCAGGGCATTTTAAACGCAGGTTGGCAAGAGCCAAAGTTTGAGGACACTGGAAACTCCTCAAATCCTTCCTTTCTCTAATATGTAATCCTTGCGTACGAACCAGTTTGGATCTGGGAGCCTTTGCCTTACACTCCCAATGTAGGTCTGTTTGGCTCAGTTGGTGATACACTGAGGATTACGAGAGCGCACGATGCTTTGAGGCTTTGAGCCAAGAGACTATTCGAGCAAAAATCATCACAACATTTGCAAGGGAGTCCTGTAGAGTGTGAGAGGAGGGGAAGAATGAGGGCGATGGTTTCTATTAAGGAAAGAATGAGCTAGAGCAGGGGCACACAGGGCGATTGGATAGGGAGGATAAAGATCAGATGGGAATAGAGGATTCAGAAATTAGCAGGAGGAAGAGGGAAAAAACAACTGCAAGTGGCAACCGGAGTAATTTTGTCGAGAACAGAGAGAGAGAGATGCTGGTGGGAGTTGGAACTAACTTATTTTACAGGCCAACTTGGCTAGCTACCAACACACGTTGCGGAGTTCTGCAAGTGTTAGCTGTGCAGGTGCAGCCTGCATAGCTGCCTGGGTTAGTAAGAAATCGAGATGAGTATTGCTGCATACTTGAATCTTGCTGTTAGTTTTCGTGGTCAAGGTGCTAAAATACAGTCAGAAACAAAGTGCAGCGCAGGAAAAAGCAATGTGGCTCATCACGCCAGTGTTGGTGATCACTCCACCCACCCTGGAGCTCTCCTACTCTAATCCCATTCCCATTCTAATCCCATTCCCCGCTCTCTCTCTCTCTCTCTCTCTCTCTCCCCATCGTGTCTGTGTTGATGCTCGCTCCCCCGCTGGAGCTCTCTACTCTAACCCCATTCCCTGCTCTCTCGCTCTCTGATAGAATATAGCGCTGTGACTGCATTATACCTCCATATACAGTTGGAGGGCAAGCAGGAATAAGGGAGGTAAAGAGTTAATAAGTTGGTACGTGACACCAGTTTGTGGTCTAAATCACAATCACACATGATCTGTCGGGTACCCTGACTCAACTGGATCCTGATTTAACGGAATTCGAGATAAAATAGGGAAGTTGAATACTGAGAAAAACAAGCCCAGGTATGTAGGGGCTTCCTGGGGCAACAGGCATTAATATTTCTATTGCGCTGCAGTATAAAGTCGTTAGCCACGCTTATTCGAGATATTGTGAAAATATGTTTTTGTTGATAGAGGGTGAAGCAGCTTAAGTCCAGGGTATAAGTACAGCACCGCAGAGCTGACGAAGACCAAGTGACTTCGAGAGCTGCACTGCTATCCAGAGCTCGGAACAGGGAATATCGTTTTGGTTCAGTTAATTATCGCTGTTGTGTACTAATGATTCTACAAATGTTACAATAAAACCTTCTTTGCACCCATATTGAGATTGTCAAGTCCATCATTGGCTAAGGTAACCTGGGTGGGGGGGGGGTGTTCCCCCGAAACCTACCATCTCCATCGTGCTGGTGCTCACTCCTCCCACTGGAGCTCTCTACTCTAACCCCAACTCCTGTTCTCTCCCTCTCACCATCATGTCTCTGCTGGTACTCACTCCCCACTGGAGCTCTATGCCCTAACCCCATTCCCTGCTCTCTCTCTCTCTCTCTCTCTCCCCATCGTATCTGTGCTGGGGCTCGCTCCCCCAATGGAGCTCTCCACTCTAACCCCAATGCTCTTTCGTCTTCCTACATGCTCACTCTATTAAGATCAAAATTTATTTCCATTTGGTACAGTGTGATGCTTCTGATGTGAGGGTGCAGGCACTATTTGGAGTTCTTTTATGCATCCGACCAGAGATTTAACACAGGGGAAATTCTCTCCTCCCCCAACTAAAACACAACAAATGGAATCAATTATCAGCAAAACGTCAGCGATTTCTGGGTTTTCGTTCTGTAGATTAACAAAAAAAAATGATTTCAATGGTCCTCATCTAGACTGGAATAAGTCCCTTCATGTTTCAGCTAAAATAAAACATCTCAAAACAACTGTAGGATAATAATCTTTACATTTGATTACAGCGTTTCACCATGTCGGGAGGACATCCCAAAGTGCTTCACTGTCTGCAGTGTGTGTTTTGAGGCAAATTTAGTCTCTCCATGAAGTGAATGACTTACTTTATCCAGAGGATTATTGGCCAGGACACCGGGGGAGAGAGAGAGAGAGAGAGAAACTCCCTTCTTTTTTCAAATGACATCATGGGATTTTTAACGACCACCGAAACAGGGACAGATGGGACCTTGGTTTAATGTTCCGTCTGAAGGGCGACACCTCCAACAACGGAGCGCTCCCTCAGCACTGCATTTGAGCGTCATCTTAAACCATGTGAGTTCCAAGTCAAGACGTAGGGCTTCGACCCATAACCTTCTGTCTCAGAGGCAAGAATCCTACCGAATGAACCACAGGCTGACACATGGAACAGTGACAGGCACGAGCTGGGGAAGAGAGTTAGAGATGTTCATCAAACGATCTTCTCTTCACAACGCTGAATGTTCAGCCACTCGGCTTCCTCTCCTCGGGATCTCTCTTCTCAAATCACTTGGCTTCGGTAGCTTTCCACATCCTCAAATGACTCTTTATCTCTTTTTTCACTGCCTTTATTTTCACGTTCGAGCCACAGAATATAGATAATAATCCTTGCATTTGATATAGCCCCTTAACACATCGTCGAGACATCTCGGAAAGCTTCTGATTTTTTTCTCTGACAGCCATAGTAGTGACAATAAAGGGAATGAGTGATTTTATCTGGGGCAGACTCTTAGCAAGGGCACCAGGAGAGAGAGAAACTCCCTTCTCTTTTCTGATAGCGATCTTTAACGTCTTCCTGAACAGGGCACGGACATCAGTGTGGACTGTCCCTCAGTCCCCACTGTGGGAGTTCGAACCCCACAACCTCCTGTCTCAGAGGTGAGAGGGCTACCGATTGAGTCAGGTCCCAGGGAGTCCCTCCTCACCAAAGGTCCCATTCACCGGCAACTGAGCGCTCTAACTGCTTCTTGGTACATTCAATGCAGTTTTGTTATTTGTGGTACAAGGAAAGGTATGAGATGGAGTTTCACCTGTTTAAATACGCAACCCAACTGACTGACATGACGGTTCTTGTGTTTAATGTAAACACCTTAATCACGTCCAAATGCCCCAAAAGCGCTGGACAAAGAGAGTTACTTTGCAGAGTAGTGACTGTTGATCTATAGGCAAATGACAGCCCTGTGTTTGGAGTGTTGGGTGGGAGGTAGAACGTGGGGAGTGGGGAATGTGACTGGGGGTGGGGGAGGTGGGGAATCTCTCCATGCTTCTGTCAGCAGTTTATTCCCACTCGGAATTGAGCTAGCCTCCTTTGACGGGCTCGGTAGTCCAGTCTCTGCGCTAGGCGTGTCCGCAGAACTCCAGGGCACTGCTGATGACAGCTAATCAGCAGGACCTGGAAGGGCAGTCCAGTCACTGGGGGTAGGGAATCCTCTCACTCAGCTCCTGTTAACCCTGTAACCCAAAGCCCTAACGGGTAGGGTGGTCCTAGCTGGACAAACATTGGGAGCGCTCTCAATGGCAAGCAGTTACCCCAAAGCACACTCTGGGCTCCCTCCCAAGCCTTGGCTCTTCCCAACCTGAGCCTAATACTCTCCAAAAATTAGGTAAGCAGGAAACCTCAGCTTGGTTTGGATACTCTTAAGCATGGTGATGGGTTTCCGCATGGGTCAGACACCTGGCTGGTCCACAAAAAATATTCTCACACATGTTCCCAGCGAGCCAGCCTCCGCCGACATCCCAGCGGCACAGCTCTTTGTAATGGCGGAAGGCACGGGTATTTGGGGTTGTGAGGAGTGGGTGGGGCTGGGGGGGGGTGGGAAACTAGGGCACTTGAGGAAGGGTCACTTGATGGCTGTAATCTGGGGGAAGTAAGATTTGACATTAGTGGAGTCGTTCAAATGCAACAGGCAGTCCACAAGCTCGTCGGGGAGCAGTGATTGCTCGGGGGGGAGCTCGGGGCCCACACAAGCTCTGTTTCCCTCACCCCCCAGGGGTGTCTCCAGCCCCTCCCCAGTAGGGCCGTGTCTCACCCCATCTCCTGCCCCTCCCCCTCCCTCGCCCCCTCCCTCGCCCTCCCCATGGGCCGTTGCTCCAGTGACTGTCATGAGGATGCTATCGATGTGCGACAGGTCAAAACTCCCGGCAAAAGACCCGGCACTGGATCCCGTCTGGTCCTCAGGGCTCCCTCCCCCGTCTCCCGGCTCCGTGGCCTGGTCGTCGCCGGGCGGTGGATCCTGAGTCTGGTGTCGGTTGGAGATCTGGGGCTTGTAGCCATTCGTGACCTCCTCGCCTGACAGAAACGTGAATACAATGCTGGCCTCCGAGGGATCCAGCCCATGGTTGTTGAAGGAGCCCCCTGGCTTCACATCCTGCCCGGGATTTAAATCCAGCCGCCAATCGGGATCGGAGCCTGAGATCCAGACTCCATCTGCGTCCGGGAGAAAGGGCTCCTCCACTTCCATCAGGGGGGGGTCTTTGTACAGCGAGAGCAGAGAAGAGTCCACGAATGGAACGTCATTTCTGTTCTATAGTGGGGGCCGGAGAAATAATAATAATAATAATAATAATCCTTGCCATTGAGATAGCTCCTTATCTCGTCTTCGAGACGTCTCACAGCGCTTCACAGAATATATTCACCGTAAAGTGCAGTGACTGTGTATTTTATGGGCAAAACGCGGCAGCCAAATGCGCACGGCAGTGTCTCACAAACCGTCGTGGGTTGAGTGACCAATTGGGGGATTGTCGGCCAGTGACACCGGGAGAGAGAAACTCCCTTCTCTTTTCGAATAGCGCCACAGGATCTTTAACGTCCACCTGAACAGGCGGTCAGGTTTAACGTCTCATCCGAACCCAACACACCCCACCCCCAGCGCTGCATTGGAGCATCAGCTTAGACTCTGGAATTCCAAGGCCCGACTTGGGGGCTTGAACCCACAATCGTCTGACTCCGAGGCGAGAAAGAGGGAGCGCTGCTACCCAGTGAGCCAGGCTGAGGGAGGCGGGGTGGGGATTATCCTGATTTTGAAGCCAAAGTGTGCGGCGTTTAATGCGCTAATTAGCAAAAGGGAACAAGTCATTTTGGCGCGTCGAGCCCCCTTCGTTCCGCTCTGCGCGATGGCGTGTGGCTGCTGAAAAAAAAATGCTGATTTAGAAAATAAAATGAGAATAAAATGAGAACGTGGGCCTGTGGGCAAGGCTCACACACCGACTAGCTGACAGAAAGCTACACCCTTTTACCATAAACTCCACGGTTTCACTTTCATTTGTGATTTTTTAAAACCAAGCCATGGTTTTATAACAGGAAGAGGTTCCCTGGGTGAATTCTGACAGAGTTTTACTTTAGCTCCCGGCAAAAACAGCTCTGTCATCAGTGGCGAAGGGAGAAAAACGCAGGGAATTGGATCAACAGTTTAGGAGGAAGAAGATTAAAGAGGAATCGAATTAAAGAGCGAGCGCCAGCACGATTGGGGAGAGAGCGGAGAATGGGGTTAGAGTAGAGCGCTCCAGCGGGGGAGCGATGGGGAGTGGGATTCGAGTGGAGATATTAAAGATGGAAATTCTGAAATCCAGTCTTTTTNAAAATGATGCAAATTCTGACCGAATTATTAATTTTCCACGATTCTGAACCACTTGAAATCTGCAGTCAGAGGTGCGATTGACTGCTCCCTCAGGGGAGGTTAGTGATCAGCTCACTCAGCTCCCAGTCAAAGCCAACCCCAGGTTCCGGGTGTGAGGGGTAAGGTTACTCATCACTCTATCTTTGCTGGAACTAATTATTGTGATGCACAGACCCTCACCCCCCCTCCCCATAGACACACACCCGTACAAAACATTAACACCGATATACACACACATATACACACATACATACAAAACACACTAACACATGAACTCACACAGATACACACAGACACACTTACACATTAACAACAACAACAAAAATTATATTTGTACAGCGAGCGCCTTTCAGGTCGGTTCTTGAAGGGAGAGGAAGGAGCGAAGCTGGGAAGCAACAACTCATTTCAGGACCTTGGAGAAGAAAGGGAGGTTGGAGATGGGGAGTTAGTTTGATGGTAGAGATGGGTCCAGGGAGGGTTTTTTAAGGTGTCGTAGACCAAAGGGAAGAGGCAGCTGAGCAGATCCGTTCAACTTCGGATTCAAAGAAGTCCTGCATTGCCTCGCAGTTGGCATTTCAGGATGGGCGAGGCATGAGAGGATGGGTGAAGGAGCCGGTTGGTAATGGAGAAGAGGAGCCTGGGGTTGTCCTTGGCCTCCAAGATTGTCTTGGGAGTAGAACGACAATTCAGCGGAGGCGAGTGTGGAGTGGTAGGTTTGATAAGGTCCAGCCAAATCTGTTAAGTTCGATTTAAGCCAAGTGCGTGCAGCGGCACGCAACTGTACTTTAGCAGAAGTGATTGGTGTACCATAGTGAATAGGAGACAGTTCGGGAAGAGAAGAGAGCAAGGAAATCGAGTGGAGGAGAGGGAGCTGTGGAGAAGAGTGACTGAGGAAGATATGCCCATTGTAGGAGGAAGCCTAGAGGGGACGGAGTTCAGAGGACTCCAAGGCAGCCAGGAGGGAGGGGGAGGTAGGTGGAGATATTTTTCCAGTGGTGGTAGGAGATGGAGGTGGGTTCGGTGTCGGTGGGGAGAGCAATTGAGGAGATAAGAAAGATGAAGTGATGATCCAAGATGGATTTGTGGATGATGGTCAGATCCGAGATGGTGAGGTCCCGATGGATCACCAGGTCGAGGGGATGACCGTGGAGTGGATGTGGAAGGAGAGATTGAGGGAGGAGATAAGCGAGGCAAAGTCAGCAGAGGGGGTGAACTGGAGGTTCACGTTGCCTAGGATGAGGAGGCAGTCGGAGCAGAGGGAGAGGGAAGATAGGAAGATGTCGGGATGAAGGTGGGGGAGGGTTTGAGGGGGAGGTGATAGATAAGGAGAATTTTGAGGGAAAGGTTGAAGGGGTGATAAAAGGTAAGGTGCTCAGAAGCGGAAGGTTCCAGAGGAGTAAGGGGATAGGCTGAGCGGAGACCGGGAGATGAGAGTCACACTGCCACCACGGCAGTTAGGTATAATGGAAGGTGTAGCCGGGTGGCGTGGCCTCTCTCAGGGGGAAGGTGTTCTCCTGGAGTGATCCAGGTTTCGGTGAGGGCGAGCATGTCGATGTTTTCATTGATGATCAGGTGTTGGATGGTGAGTGTTTTGTTGGAGATGGAACGGACATTTTGTAGGCCAATGCAGAGGGGACAGAGGGGGAGGCCTAACAGGAAGGGTGGGCAATTGGATGAGGGAGGAGAGGTTGGGCCCCGTGGTCAGGGACTGATGGGCCTTGCTGCGAAAATGGGAGGTGGGGGCAGTCAGAGTGGCTGCTGTTGGACCAGCCAGCGGCGTCTGTCACGGTGGGCCTGACGGAGGATTCGCAGGCTGGAGCAGACGTGGGACGGTCGAGCAGGGATAGGAGTCGGGAAGAGCGGTGGGAGAGGAGGATCGAGTGGGAGTGAGTAATGGAAGGTGGACGACCGGGGTGTGAGTATCATGGAGAAGCAGCTCGGGTCGGTGGCGGCAGCCAAAATGCGCATGTCGAGATTAAGAGAGAACGGCAGTGGATGTGGGGGGTGGGGGAGGGTATCAGCGAGGCAGGGTTAGCCCATTGGTGAGGGTCATCATGGGGAGAGCTTCAGACGCTGTCCGCGGCTCCGCGCGGCTCAGGCTCAGGCCGGGTGGGGCCTCGGTCTCCGCATTGGGTCCGGTCGCCGTTTGGGAGATCGGACTCCGCCGGTGCTGACCTCGAGCCCCGCTCGGCCTCGCTCACCTGTCAGCCTGGGGCTCCGCTCCAGGCGTCACTCATGTGAAGTCGTCTCGCTCGGTCCCTGTTCCAGGCTGCCCGACGAGGGAGGCTTGGAGTCCAAGAGCTCCTGCCCTCCCCACCCCACCCCCCCACCCCCCNCCCCCACCTCGCTTTTTCCACATTTTTGCAATCATGTTTGGCGACCTCCTGACGATTCCAGCCTCCAGCCTCCAACCACCGCCATTGTTTTCGAGGAACACAGACGCGCACAAACACATACAGTAACACACAGACACACACAGACACGCAGACACACAAACACACACACACAGCAACACACGAAGACACGCACAGTAACACGCAGACACACATACAGTAACACAGAAAGACACAGACACACAGTAACACACAGACACACACACAGTAACACACAGACACACATATGATAACACACAGACACACACAGTAACACATAGACATACACATAGTAACACATGAAGACACAGATACACAACAACACACAGACACACACTTACACACTGACACACAGACACAGACATTTACCTGAAGAGCCTTCGCTACTTTGCTGTTCTCAACATTAGGAAATGCCTGGTGAACCCACCAAGGTAAAAGGAACTTGCAAACGCTTTTAATTCTAAAAGATAAAAGAAAAATTGAAAGAAGAAAAGACGATGGTTTTAATAAGAATTCCAGCCAGGAAGAATTGCCTTTATCCTGGCAACAATCCCGCTAAGGAATCCTCTATTCCTGTTTGAATGGGGTTGGGGAGGGGGCCAGTTTCGCCAGAAACTGTTCTTTACACGGAGGGGTAATTGAAGTCTGGAATGGGGGTCACCAGGAGAAAAGAGTGCGGGTGGGGGTGTCGGGTGGGGAGTGAGGCCAAGGCATTTAAGAATCATCTTGAAGCCGTAGTGGGGCCAAAACGGGCTTCTTCACCCCAACCCATCTTGTTAAATAATAACAATAAAATAAATGATACCACTAATAAGAATCCATGCACTTTATACAGCGACTTATCTCTGTTGTTAAAAAGTGGTTAAAAATGCTTCACAGCATTACTGTGAAGAGCGGTGACTGACTATTTTCCTGTGTCGCTCAGAAAAGGGAGTTTCTCTCTCCCCCTCCCTGGCTGACAATCTCCCAGATACATTACTCATTCGCTCGATGATTTGCTGTGGAAAACCTATTGCATTTGCCATGAAAAGCAGTCACTTCACTTGACAGTGATGAGCGTGAGCAGGTTCAGTGGGACAGACGCTGTTCTTACTTTTCAAGTTGATTTAGAGTAAAGTTCACCTCCTGGGGCTGTGTTTCCTGTTGAATTTCCTGTAAACACTTCACTAAACACAACCTGCAGTGAACTAAGGGCAAGCAAAGCAACTGAGAGACATTTAAACATCTCCTTTCACTGTGCCGTATCAACAACTCAGAAGCTTTAATACAACATTAATAATAATATTTCTTGCATTTGATATCACATCTTTCACATTAGACGTCACACGTGTGAGCAAACGGTTGACCCGTGTGAACTCCAGAGGAAGTGTCGCTTTGAGCTGTTTGCGGTGCCCGCTATTCACAGAGGGTCGCAGAACCAGACTGCAAAGTGTAGTGACTGTGCTTTTGCAGGCGATTGCAACTTGCTTTTGCAGGCGATCGCCCAATTTGCGCATAGTAACGTCCCTGCAAACAGCCATAAAGTGGGCGAACAATATCTGACAGGGGAGCGTAAACCAGGACACCGGGAGAGAGAAACTCCCTTCTCTGTTTCAGTAGCACTGAAGAATTTTTTTATTGTCCCACTGAATAGGGCACCTTGATTTAACCCTAATCCTGATCTAATCCCACCAAAACAACCCCCTCCCATCCCCCATCACAGCATTTGATGTTGCTTTTTCAATGAGTTCCAGTGTCTTGGTCTCAGCCACCCCTCCTGCAAACCCTGTTCCACTTGTTAATTACCCTCTGAGTAAAGAAATCTTCCTGGTGTCTCTCCTGAAATCGTCCCTTTACAACTCTAAACCCATGTTCTCTTGTTTTGCTGTCCCAGTGCATCCTAAATATTGTTCGCGTTTAATTTTATAATCCCTGTATTTGATACGGCGGCTTATCACATCTTCGAATCGTCTCAAAGGGCTTCACAGGATACACTGTAAAGTGAATTGACTGTATATTGTGGGCGAAACGCATCGGCCAATTGCGCACAGCAACGTCCCACAAACAGTCGTGGATTGAAGTGACCAAATTATTATTATTTTGGGGGCGGAGGGATTATTACCCACGGAAAAGCGATCCGCCAATCAACTAACAACCAGGTTCCTACTTACTGCTCGGTAAACAGAGGCGTGTGGAGTGAGGAAACTTGCTGAACATTTATCCCGCCTGGGAATTGAACCCATGTCTCTCGCTTGCGAGGCGAGTGCTCTAACCATTATGCTACAGGACTCCACATTATAAATTGTATTCACCTCTATAAACTTCCCTCTGAGATGCCTTCTCTGAAGACTGAAGAGCCCTATAACTAGTCCTGTCTAATTGCTGCTTGTATGTTAGATGTGTTTTATTCTGCTGACATTCAGTGTTAACAGCTCAAAGCCACACTTCCTTTGAGGCTCACAACATGCAACCCCTTTCCTCCCGGACCGCCTCACGACGTGAAAGGCGCTTTACAAATGTAATCTTGTTGATGTTGTTGTTGTTGTTGATGCAAGTTCACTTTGAACTCTAAATAAACACAACAACACAATCAACACTGAATAGGATCTGCTCCTCGTAATTTTTCTCTCCTCCTTTCCCAAAAGATATTCAGTCAGGCCTTGAAAGTGAGGTCTTCGTCTGCCCCTCCCTCCACCCCCCTGTGCCCGTCTCCGCTACTGTAAAGGTCTCTCAGACATTATTATTCTGACACGCTTAGAAATTCATTGTCGTGATCAGCCGGGGGTCTGACACAAGTGCTTACGGTCACCTCCTCCCTCCCCCCAGGCTCGGTGTGTCAGGCTCCGCCACTGTTAAGTGCTCAGAGACACTGCCCCCCCCCCCCTTGTGAAGGGCGCTGTGTAAATGCAAGTTGTTGTTGTTGTCCCAGAGGATAGAGGGAAGCTTACCTTTGCCTGATGGATTTCATAAATATCAGAGTGAGCAAAATTGTGAAAGGAATGGTGACTCCGAGGCTCAATTGGAGGGGTAGACGAATACCCTGGGAATCTAAACAGGGGCAGAAGAAGATAAAATAATCCTTGTATTTAATACAGCGCCTTATCACGTCTTCGAGACGTCTCAAAGCGCTTCACAGAACATACCGTAAAGTGAATTGACTATATCCTTTGTGGGCGTAACGAGATATCACTGATTCCCACAAATGTAAGATCAACAAATGTAATGGAGAGGCCGAGAGAACAATAGCTTTTACACAGAGCACAGTGGCCAAAACAGTGGCGGAAACACAATCCATAATCACATTAATAATAATAATCCCTACATTGTTATAGCGCCTTATCACGGCGTTGAGACGTCTCAAAGCGCTTCACAGGATATACTAGGTAAACAGAGGTGTGTGGAGTAAGGAAACTTGCCTAAGGTTTCATCCCACCCAGGAATCAAACCCGGGTCCTCTTGCTTGCAAGGCAAGTGCTCTAACCACTAAGCTACAGGTTTTGTAGCGTGTTGCTCACACTGATCAGGGAAGGGGGTTAATTGTCAACCCTGTGAAGAGGCACACTATAACCCACAGCCAAAGGCAGCTCTGATGCTGTCCAGTTCGGGAGAAGCACTGAGAATAATAATAATAATAATAATCCTTGCATTTGATATAGCGCTTTTCATGTCGGGAGGACGTCCCAAAGCGCTTCACAGAACACACTGTAAAGTGAATTGACTGTATATTTGTGGGCGAACGCGGCAGCCAATTGCGCATAGGCAATGTCCCACAAACAGTCGTGGATTGAAAATGACCAATTTATTATTGTTTTTTGTTTTGGAGGGATTATTATTAGGCTCTGTGTGGAGTAAGGAAACTTGCCCAAGGTTTCGCCCTCTGACTGGAATTGAACTCAGGTCTCTCACTTGCAAAGCGAGTGCTCTAACCACTGAGCTACAGGACTCCAAATAGGCAGAGATAGGCTGAGACAGGTTGACGACTCAGTAACACATGCACAGGAGGAGGCCATTCAGCCCATCAAGTCTGTTATGTCAGCCCCTGAGATATCAGCAGATCTTTCAAACTGCAAAGGACAGCATCAGTTACCCAGAGGGTTGTTGTTGCCACCTGGTGGCCGATAGCAAGCGTGACACAAGGAACGCCGCAAATTTACTGAACAATAATAGTAATAATCCTTGCATTCGATATCGCGCCTTATCATGTTGTTGAGACGTCTCAAAGCGCTTTCCAGAATATACTGTAAAGTGGAGTGACTGTGTATTTTGTGGGCGAAACGTGGCAGCCAATTGCGCGCAACAGCGTCCCACAAAAGTCGTGGATTGAGTGACTAATTTTTTTTTGAGGGATTATTACCCCCGGAAAGCGATCCTACTCACTGCCGGGTAAACAGAGGCGTGTGGAGTAACGAAACTCGCTTAAGGTCTTGCCCCGCTGGGAAGCGAACCCAGGTCCCCTCGGATGCGGGCTGAGCGCTCGAACCGCTGAGCTTCGGGACACGGTGTGTCTTACCTGTTGAGAAATGGTTCTCCTCTCCTGTGGTCCCCTCCCCCGCGGCGGTGGAGGCCGTCATGTACACGGTGTAGGCAGTGCTGGAGTTCAGCTTCAGACGGAACGTTCTCTTGGCTGCGTCCGCAACCTTATCTGATGTTAGAGAGAGAAAATCAACCATCTGTTTAACCCAACAGTAGGACCTCTGTTGGTGATCGAATGGCAGATCGATTTTCCGGGCGTAATAATCCCTCCCCCCAAATAAGTAATAATAATTTGGTCACTCAATCCACGACTGCTGTCCGCAATTGGCTGCAACGTTTCACCCACAAAAATACAGTCACTACACTTTCCAGTATATTCTGTGAAGCACTTTGAGACGTCTCGAAGGGGTGATAATAAGGAGCTGTATCAAATCCAAGGATTATTATTAATATTATTATTATCAGCCTTACAGTAACAGTCCAAGACAGAGACACCCATATGGGGTGCTGCTCGGAAAGACACTCTCTCGAGGAGTCCTGGTCAACAATTGCATCCCCCCACCCCGAGAAAATCGGTGACTTCATGGCTGTTTGGGGAGACTTTGCTGTACGCAAATTGACCGTTGCCTTCGCGCACAAAACACACAGTCACTACACTTTCCAGCAAATCCTGCCAAGCGTTTTGCGACGACGTTAGATCATCAAGTTCTCAACAAATTACATTCGCCGCCTTTCGCATCGAGAGGACGTCCCAAGGTGCTTCGCAGTATTTCCTGTGAAGTGTAGTGACTGTGGGTTTTGTGGGCGAACCCGGCAGCCGATTTGCTCACAGCGACGATTTGTGCGTGGGGGGGTGAAACAGCTCATCGGTGCCACATACTGGCTGTTCGACCAGAGAGCAAAGGAATGTCTCAAGTCTGCAGTGACGGGTTATGAACACTCACACTGCTCCAGGTTTCTCCTGTCTGAGCCTCTGTTCAGGTAGATGTTGTACTGGGTGATGAAGCCCTGCCGAGCCGCCACTGGAATTTCGCTCCACTTTAGCTCCACCTGGTTTCCCACCAGGTTCAGCACCGAGATCCGGGGTCCGGCCGTGGGTCCTGAGAGAGGCAGAGGCATAAGGTCTCACCCGGAGCACCCCAGGGAAACGCACTGCAACTCACGCTCACACAGCCTCTCACACACACAGCCTCTCACACACACAGCCTCTCACACACACAGCCTCTCACACACACACAGCCTCTCACACACACACAGCCTCTCACACACACAGCCTCTCACACACACAGTCTCTCACACACACAGCCTCTCACACACAGCCTCTCACACACACAGCCTCTCACACACACACAGCCTCTCACACACACAGCCTCTCACACACACAGCCTCTCACACACACAGCCTCTCACACACACACAGCCTCTCACACACACAGCCTCTCACACACACACAGCCTCTCACACACACAGCCTCTCACACACACACAGCCTCTCACACACACACAGCCTCTCACACACACAGCCTCTCACACACACAGTCTCTCACACACAGCATCTCACACACACAGCCTCTCACACACACAGTCTCTCACACACACAGCCTCTCACACACACAGCCTCTCACACACACAGCCTCTCACACACACAGCCTCTCACACACACACAGCCTCTCACACACACAGCCTCTCACACACACACAGCCTCTCACACACACACACACAGAGCCTCTCACACACACAGCCTCTCACACACACACAGCCTCTCACACACACAGCCTCTCACACACACAGCCTCTCACACACACAGCCTCTCACACACACAGCCTCTCACACACACAGCCTCTCACACACACAGCCTCTCACACACACACAGCCTCTCACACACACAGCCTCTCACACACACACAGCCTCTCACACACACAGCCTCTCACACACACAGCCTCTCACACACACAGCCTCTCACACACCCCTCACACACACAGCCTCTCACACACAGCCCCAGCCTCTCACACACAGCCCCAGCCTCTCACACACAGCCCCAGCCTCTCACACACAGCCTCTCACACACACAGCCTCTCACACACACAGCCTCTCTCACACACACAGCCTCTCACACACACAGCCTCTCACACACACAGCCTCTCACACACACAGTCTCTCACACACACCCCACAGCCTCTCACACACACAGCCTCTCACACACACACAGCCTCTCACACACACACAGCCTCTCACACACACACAGCCTCTCACACACACACAGCCTCTCACACACACAGCCTCTCACACACACACAGCCTCTCACACACACAGCCTCTCACACACACAGCCTCTCACACACACACAGCCTCTCACACACACAGCCTCTCACACACACACAGCCTCTCACACACACACAGCCTCTCACACACACAGCCTCTCACACACACAGCCTCTCACACACACAGCCTCTCACACACACAGCCTCTCACACACACACAGCCTCTCACACACACAGCCTCTCACACACACACAGCCTCTCACACACACAGCCTCTCACACACACAGCCTCTCACACACACAGCCTCTCACACACACAGCCTCTCACACACACAGCCTCTCACACACACAGCCTCTCACACACACAGCCTCTCACACACACAGCCTCTCACACACACAGCCTCTCACACACACAGCCTCTCACACACACAGCCTCTCACACACACACAGCCTCTCACACACACAGCCTCTCACACACAGCCTCTCACACACAGCCTCTCACACACACAGCCTCTCACACACACAGCCTCTCACACACACAGCCTCTCACACACACAGCCTCTCACACACACAGCCTCTCACACACACAGCCTCTCACACACAGCCTCTCACACACACAGCCTCTCACACACACAGCCTCTCACACACACAGCCTCTCACACACACAGCCTCTCATACACACACAGCCTCTCACACACACAGCCTCTCACACACACAGCCTCTCACACACACAGCCTCTCACACACACACAGCCTCTCACACACACAGCCTCTCACACACACAGCCTCTCACACACACAGCCTCTCACACACACAGCCTCTCACACACACAGCCTCTCACACACACAGCCTCTCACACACACAGCCTCTCACACACACAGCCTCTCACACACACAGCCTCTCACACACACAGCCTCTCACACACACCCACACACACAGTCTCTCACACATACACAGACTCTCACACACACAGCCTCTCACACACAGCATCTCACACACACAGCCTCTCACACACATACAGTCTCTCACACACAGCATCTCACACACACAGCCTCTCACACACAGCATCTCACACACAGCATCTCACACACAGCATCTCACACACAGCCTCTCACACACACAGCCTCTCACACACACAGCCTCTCACACACACAGCCTCTCACACACACAGCCTCTCACACACAGCATCTCACACACAGTATCTCACACACACAGTCTCTCACACACACAGTCTCTCACACACACAGCCTCTCACACACACACACAGTCTCTCACACACAGCCTCTCACACACACAACAACAAAATTACATTTTGTATAACACTTTTCATGTCGGGAGGACATCCCAAGACAGTCAGTGGAGGGGTTCGTGAAGGGAGTGGCGGGAGAAGAAGGAGCAAAGCTGGGAAGCAATGACTCCTTCCAGGACCTTGGAGAGGAAAGGGAGGATGGAGATGGGGCGGTAGTTTGAGAGCAGGAAGGGTTTATTAAGGATAGGAGTGATGACGGCTATTTTTAAAGGGAGGGAACAGTACCAGTGAGAGGGAGAGGTTTACGATGTCTGTGATAGAGGGGCAGGGAGGTGAAGCTGGAAGGTAAGGAGAGGAGTAGGGATGGGGCCGAGGGAGCAGGTGGTCTGTTTCATGTGGGCTATAGTGATGATGAGAGAGGAGTGGGAGACAGGTTCTAAAGAGTGGAGGGAGGGCTGGGTAGCGGGCCAGAGTGAGAGGGATGGGGAGGGGATAGTAGATGGAAGGGCAGAGGCAGCTGAGCGGATCCCCTTGTCTTTGGTTTCGAGGAAGTCCAGCATCACCTCGCAGTTGGCATTGGAGGTGAGGATGGGCGAGGTGTGAGAGGTTGGGAGGATGAGCTGGTTGGTGATGGAAAAGGGGAGCGTGGGTTTGTCCTTGTAGAACAACGATTTAGCGGGGGTGAGGGCAGAGCGGTGGGATTTGATAAGGTCCAGCTAGAGCTGCCGATGGACTGTTAAGTTCGATTTAAGTCAGGTGTGTTCAGCATTCAGTGGCATTCACACACACAGCGTCTCCTCACAGTCTCTCACACAAAGCCTCTCACACACAGTCTCTCACACACAGCATCTCACACAGGATGCACTTCCAAGGGGAGGAAATAAAAGGGATAAAGAAGAGGAAATAAAATAGCGACGTACTTCCTTCCTCTGAATATCCTTGAGCCCAGCTGGAGCTTCCTTCTCTGGCGGGATACAGTGCCGTCACTGAGATATTGTACCGTTTCCTCGGCTTGATGAGAACTTCCATAAAGAAAATAAGATCAGAAATAAACAAACCAGAAATACAGACACCAGATCGGCAGAATGAATGCACAACTGTCCATTTACACAGCGCCTTATCACATCGGGAGGACATCCCAACAACTTCACAATAATAATAATAATCCTTGCATTTGATATAGCGCCTTATCATATTGTTGAGACATTTCAAAGAGCTTCACACATTCAAGACTGAGATCAATAGATTTTTAAAAACTAAAGGGATTAAGAGATACGGGGATAGGGCAGGTAAGTGGAATTAGATTAGAAGATCAGCCATGATATTATTAAATGGCAGGGCAGGCTCGAGGGACCTAATGGCCTACTCCTGCTCCTATTTTTTATGTTCTTATGTTCACATAATATACTGTAAAGTGGAGTGATTGTGTATTTTGTAGTTGGAACCCAGCAGTCAATTGCGCACAGCGGTGTCCCCACAAACAGTCATGGAATGAGTGAAATGTTCCTACTCACTGCTAGATAAGCAGAGGTGTGTGGAGTAAAGAAACTTGCCTAAGGTTTAGCCATTTAACAATCCTGCCTGGACACCCATCCCGGGGGTGGTTTGGGAGGGAAGTGGGAAAGATGACCGAAGGCGCGGTCAATGAGGTAGGAGGAAGTTGAACAGAGCAGGTCTAAAAGGGAGGAACGTCTTCACGCAGAGGGTGATGAATGCTTCGCAGGATTTAATATACTGTGCGGTGACTATATGTTACAGTGGCTGAGTCAGAAGGTTGCGCTGATGCCTCAGTTCAGTGATGGGGCTGGAGGTAGGGAGGGGGGTGACATCTCTTGGTTGAGACATTACACTAAAGCCTCATCTGCGGTTAGAGCACTTGCCTCGCAAGCGAGAGTCCTGGGTTTGATTCCTGGACGGCGCCAAACATTAGGCCTTACTCCACACCTAGGAACCTGGTCGTTAGTTGATCAGTGGACCGCTTTCTGAGGGTAATAATCAATTCAAATAAGCTGGGGTTTGGGATCAGGAAGGGTGGAAGGCAGGGAGGGTGGGGGTTGCAGGGTAACCGAAGGTTTGATCGAAGAGGAGGGGCTTGAGATGGGCCTTGAAGGAGGCAAGTGGGGGAGGGAGGCGAAGGGACTGTGGGATGGAGTTCCAAAGGATAGGGGCAGATAGGCTGAAGGCCTACCCGCTGATGGTGGGGCGGGCCGGGCGGGGGACGTGGAGCAGGCTCTCTCTATTCTTGCATGGCTGTTTGTGAGATACTCCCCTTCCCCACCCAATACTCTGTGCAGGGAGAGCGCTGCTCACGTACTCCCTTGTGCTGAATGTCTCTGGGACGAGTTGGCTGGTCCCGATGCGATGTAGAACGACTGGATTGTGCTGGGAAGGCGTCTCCAGCCTAGGAGCTGGGGGCTGTGTCTGGCCGCCTCCGTCCAATCGACCACGTAGCCCCTCACTGTCTCTCCCTGCTCCGTTGGCGGCTCCCACCGCACCAAAATCCCTGAGCTTCCCGCTGGTCTGACCTTCAGGTTCGTTGGTGCACGTGTGTCTGGAACGAATGGCCCCGTGTTAATAATAATTGCAATAATAAGCGCCTTATTAAGTCGTCGAGAGGTCTCAAATCTCTCAAAACGCTTCACAGGATAGACTATAAAGTTTAGTGACCGTGTGTTTTGTGGGCTAAACTCGGCAGCCAATTGCATGCAGCAGCGTCCCACAAACAGTCGTGGATTGAAGTGACCAAATTATTACTATTATCATGTTTTTGAAGGGTTTATCACCCCACTCTAATAATAATAATTATAAGAAGAACCTTTGCATTTGATACAACGCCTTACTACACCGTCAAGATATCTCAAAGCGCTTTACAGGGATTTTACCGTCAAGGGTAAAGATTCCATGTTACAGGTGAACAAGGCAGCCAATTTGCGCACGTGACTGATTTTATCTGAGGGACTGTTAGCCAGGATATCCCTTCCCTTTTCACATAGCATTACATCACCTGAACAGACAGAGGGGATCTCAACATGCCACCCAGCTAACAGGGGGACGGAGTGGGGCTGTGGGGTGGGGGGGGGGGGTGGTTAAGAAAAACACGCGGCTCAAATCTAGCGACTCGTGAGCAAAGAGAAGCCTTCATAGTGACAGAGTTACTTGCGTGTTCGATGTGGAGGGCAGCGGGTGCCGAGCTGCCATTGCGGTTAAAGGCGGTGACGGAGATGGTGCCGGGAGCCCAGGGCACTCGACAGCGGAGCTGAGGGTGTGAGGCCGTGCACATCGGCACCACCGACCCATTGCCAAAACGTTGAACCACATGGTAACCCAGGATAACACCCCTCGCCTTCCCTCGGCTCAGCGGCTGCGGAAACATTAGACACAAAGGAAACTCAGCAAACTTCTGATAACTCGATCCCGTCTTAACTTCATCATAATAATGATAATAATAATAATCTTTCCATTTCCATAGCGCCTTATCATATTGTTGAGACGTCTCAAAGCGCTTCATGAATATACTGTAAAGTGATTTGACCAAAGGCACATTCAAAAAGGAAGGTCTTAAGGTGGGCCTTGAATTTATATATATTATACAAATATAATAAAAAACATATATTATATAAATGTAATAAATCATATACATTAATTGTTACATAATAATTAATATATTATACATATATTTTACATTAGTAAAGAATATACATCATATAATAATTAATATATTATATAAATGTAATAAAGAACATAAATATACAATAAAAATAGTTTTATATATTTATTTATATTGCATTTAGATAGCGCCCTTGATGTAGTACAGTGTCTCGGAGCGCTGGGATGGGGTGAGAACCTTCAGAGCTTCTGACGCAGCTATTAGATATCAGCGCAAGTGCTGAGCCAGGCTGCCCCCCCACCCCCCCCCCCCCCGCCCCACCTCCCCCATCACCCCTGGGTTACTCGGACCCTGACAGACACCGACAAGACCTTTGTGACTGACCTGCCACAGCACAGTGAGCTGCTTCGGAATCCCAGCCAAATCAGTCGGCTCAAACATCCTCCACACATCCAAAACCCCGTCAGGCACTGCAAAACAAGAGCGAGAGTGAATTTTAACAATTTTTATGTTTGTGTGTGAATGGGGGGGGTTAGGGGTTGGGGGTTGGAGGGGAGAGGGCTGATATTTGATTTATTTTATGTTCACAGCCCACAACATTCAAGAGTGACTGTGTATTTTGTAGGTGAAACGTGGCAAACAGTTTGCACACACGCAGCAGTGACTCCATAAACAGCCGTGGAGCAAGTGACCAATTTTTTGGGGGGGATTGTAGGCCAGGACACCGCCGAATAGCGCCGTGGGATGTTTAACGGTCACCTGAGCAGGTAGACGGGAGCTCGGTTTAACGTCTCATCAAGGACGGCGTCTCCGACAATGCAACACCCACCCATACCCCCCCCCCCCCAGCGTTGCTTCGGAGCGTCAGCTTAGATGGTGTGATTCCAAATCCTGATCCCACAACCTTCTGACTCACAGGTAAGAGCGCTACTACTGAGCCAGGCTGACACACTGTTGTCGTGCAGCCAGAGAGGCAGAGGGAGCAAGGTAAGGGGACGGGATATAGTGCTGTCTGAGCACTCACCTGCCTCTGGAGCTTTACTCAGGAACGAGCTGCTCCACACGCTCCAGTCACCTCTTCCCATATGCCGGCAACGAGCCTGAAATTCATACTCAGTGAAAGGCTCCCAATGTGATATGCGGCCACAGTCACCGCTCACACTGAATTTCTCATCAGGAACCTGTAAGAAACAATCGATTCATTTTAAAGTCCATCCCCAAGAACTCCTGATGTCCCTCCGCCTTCCCCACTCCCTTGCCTCCTTCAAGACTTTCCTCGTTGATCGTGCTTTTGGCCACCCTCCGACCCCAACACCTCCCCATACCCTCCAACCCACTTGATTCCAACCCCCAGTTCAGGTGCAAATCCTTGACTGTCCGTCGCCTTGGGATGTCCTCCTGACGTGAAAGGCGCTGTGTAAATGTAACTTTGTTCCTGTTGTTGGGAGTCAAATCCCATTCCCTTCTTTCTCCCCATCGTGTCTGTGCTGGTGCTCACTCCCCCACTGGAGCTCCCTACTCTAATCCCGTTCCTTGAATGTGCTGACAATTTGCTGGTGGTGATCCGGGATGTACCTGGATCCACTTGAAGTCGATGTCCGACCTGATCATGTATCTGATCTGAAATTCCATATCCTCAGTCGTTCCCAATTTGTTCCAGTAAATCAAGGTCTTGGAGCCGTTTACAAACTCAACTTTAGTGATATTGAGCGCGTCCGGCCTCACTGCCAACAAAGAGCAAAGAGAGTTTAGATACAGACACTCGCGACTCATCTCTGGGCATGGAGTAGTGACTATGTGTAGGTGTGTGTGTGAGGGCGTATGTGTGTGTGTGTGTGGCTATGTGTGTGTGTGTGTGTGTGGGTGTTTGTGTGTCAGTCCAAGCCAGACTGACATCAACAGGCGTGAACCTGGTATGAGCTGCATCATTGTACCTATGTTTTGCATGGAAAAGGTTAGGATGTCTGAGGAAGCGTTTCCGAGCAGATTCCGTGCTACCACGTGCACTCTGTATTGGCCATTGTCCAGGAGACTTTGTGGGGTGCTACTGGCTGTGCTGCTGTTGAGATCGGTAGTAAATATCTTCTCCACGTTTGTCCTTACACTGTGTAAACACGAGGTGGCGGCAAGTTAATAATAATGATGATAATAATAATACTCCTTGCCTTTGATATAGCGCTTTTTATGTCTTCGAGATGTCTCAAAGCGCTTCACAGGACATACTGTAAAGTGAACTCACTGTATATTTGTGGACCAAACGGGGCAGCCAATTGAGGAAAATGTCTCCCCACAAAGTCACTCATTAAAGAACTCTTCTTTTCGCAGCTTGACGAGCTTTTAATTGAGGTTATTTACCAGAGGAACTCATGGTTTTAACACTTGATCAGCTTTGATTGCAGCCCACGCTCTGTGTGACCTACAGGCAAGGGAGTGTGTGACACTCACGTTTGGTTTCTGTGGCTAGAGCTGCTCATTCCCCACAGAAAGAACATTCTAGGTGAAATGTTCGGCACCGAGTGCCAGTAAGCAGAGGAGGCTGAGACTAGAGGAGGCAGGTTCCTCTGGTTTACGATGACAAGAGTAAGAAGACAACCCAGTTTGGGGTTTGCCAACACATTTTTTTTTGCCCACAAAGAAAATTTTCACACGGCAGCGATTTGAGTACCAGTAAGAACTGGCTTCTCATAAGCAATGAACAGACTCAGCCGATCGCCCAGGGTTTTTTTCTCCAGTGATTAATGGGGGCACCTAGTAGCTCAGTGGTTAGAGCACTCGCCTTCCAAGCGAGAGGATCAGGGTTCGATTCCCGTGCGAGGCAAAACCTGAGGCAAATTTCCTTACTCCACATGCCTCTGTTCACATAACACTAAGTAGGAACCCAGTTGTTAGTTGATTGGTGGCTCGCTTCCTGGGGGTAATAAGCCCTTTAAAAATAAATATTAATAATAATCATAATTTGGTCACTCAATCCACGACTGTTTGTGGGACACCGCTATGCGCAATTGGCCAAGTTTCACCCACAATATGTACAGTCAATTCACTCTACATCATATACTTCATCATGAAGCACTTTGAGCCGACTCGAAGATGTGATCAAGCGCTATATCAAATGCAAGGATCATTATATTTCATCATATATCTGAGCCCCAGGTTGGGGACTTTGCGCTCACAACCCAGGCTGACCTACCAGCACAGCGCTGGGGTGGGAGTGGGGGGAAACAACGCTGCTTTGCGAAAACACCACTCGTCGACAACAACCACCTGAATTTACAAAGCGAGGCCGGTCGCCCTTCACTCAGATAGTGTCTCGGAGCGCTGAACAGTGGCGGAGTACAAGCATGAAGGAGGTTGTGAGCGAGGGAGGATGGGGTGTTGCCGGGTACTGCAGTGACACGCTATCAAAGTGAGAACTGAAAGTGTTACAGGCACGTAGAGAGCCCACACTGACCGCAGAGCTCCTTAACCTTTGGGTGGTGCTGTGTCTGACCTGATTACAGCTGAAGCTCGACATACAGTGTACCGAGCGCAAACTCAGCATGTCATGTCCCATTTTCCTTTCATGATTCCCTTTTGAAAGGTATTGTTGAAGCTGCTTCCACCACCCTTTCAGGCCGTGCATTCCAGATCGTAGCAACGAGGAGGCTCAACAACAACAACAACAGCAGCAGCAACAACAACAGCAGCAACAACAACAACAACAGCAACAACAACAGCAGCAGCAGCAACAACAACAACAGCAACAACAATAGCAACAGCAGCAACAACAACAGCAGCAACCAACAGCAGCAACAACAATAGCAACAGCAGCAACAACAACAGCAGCAACCAACAGCAGCAACAACAACAGCAACTTGCATCTACACAGCGGCTTTCACATAGGGAGGCATCTCGGAGGGCTTAGCGTCTCAGTCTCTCTACATAAGTATCTAGAACCATAGATTTCGGGTGGCTAGGGCTAGACGACGCTCAACACCCCCCCCCCCCCCCCCCGCGCCCCTAGGAATATTTTCACTGTTGCCCATGTCCAGTATAAGGGGCATGGGATGAAGAAGCTGCAGAGGAACGGTGAGAGGACAGGGCAGGCAGGTAAATGACATTACACACGGAACATGGGGAGAGCTCGGAGTGGATGGGCCAGGGAGGCGGTGGAGGCAGGACATTCAAGAGCGATTTGGCGAGGCAATAGACTGAGAGATTATAAGAGGTAGGGTGGGGGAGGATTATGTTATAAGTGATAATAATCCTTAAATTTGATCTAGTACTTTTCAGATCGCTTCACAGGATTTACAGTAGTGTAGTGTTTTGCGGCAGGCAATTTGCGCACAACAAGGTCCCACAAATAATCATGAAGTGAATGACCAATTTTATCCGGGGGATTGTTGACCAGGGACACTGGGAGAGAGAAATTCCCTTTTCTTTTTCAACAGTGCCGCAAGATTTTTAACCACAACAATTACATTTGATATAGCTCCTTATCACATTGTTGACCCATCTCAAGCGCTTCACAGAATACAGTGTCACGTGTATTCACTGTATATCTTGTGTGCGAAACACTGTAGTCAATTGCGCACAGCGGTGTCCCACAAACAGTGATGGATTGAATGACCATATTACTTTTGAACAGGGATAGACCTTGGCTCAACATCTCATCTGGCGTCTCCGACAATGCGGCACTGTTCCTATTCCCCCACCCACCCGGCACTGCGCTGGATTGTCAGCCTGGGATATCTGGATGACTGTCTTGTAGGACAAGAGAAGGGGGGTACTCGTATTCTCCAAAAAGGTTGTGGGACCTTCAGCGTGTATCTGAGGGAGATGAGAACATTAAGGTGTCACTCACTCTTGTACGTGGAGCGTATAGCTTGTGTCCAGGATTGGAGGGTTGCCGATTCTCCAGATGCACTTCATCACATTTTGTCTCCACACACATCTGAGCTCCTGGGGTGGATCTGGAGGATCTAACAGGAAGGAAAGCACAAGGCTTGAAATCCCACTGAGTCTGAGAGCGTTTAACAACTTAGTTTAACAACATCTCATCCGAAAAATGGCACTTCAAACATTACAGCGCACCCACAGCTGATGTTTGACACACGCAGAAATCCATCACCGTGGTCAGCCGGGTGTCCGTCTCAGATCCTGTTGATACTGCAAGCCAAAGTCCTAATGGGTGTGGTGGTCCTAGTGGACAAACAGTGGAAAACCTGGCCAGACAGAGTCTACACACGGCCTGGGGTGGACTGGTGGTCGTTGACAGGAGGAGGAGGAAGGGAAGGTAACCAAGAACAGCTTTACACTCACTACAAGAGCTTTCCTAAAGAGATACCTACAGCCAGGAGACAAACTGGCTCCACACACGAAGTGTTTTCTACCGTCCACACAGTTGACATAACACATGAGCGAAGATTTCAGTATGTTGAAGCCAGCAATGCGATACCGGGCCACGGTGTTGTTCAGGCGCTTCATGTAGATGTCGGGGCTTCCGCTCATGTTCAGCTGAAAGTTTATCACTTGGCAGGGTATGACCAGCAACACGCAGCTGATGGAAATGTCCGAGCCCATCAGGAACACGGACGCTGGGTCCACCACCACTCTCCCTAAGCGTTGCAGGGATGGCAATTCTGGAACCAATCGTACAAGTTTAACAATAATAACACTTGCATTTGATATAGTCCTGTAGTGTATATAATAAAAACATAATAATCCTTGCATTTGATACAGCACCTTATCACATCTTTGAGATGTCTCAAGGCTTTTCACAGGATATACTGAAAAGTGAATTGACTATTTTGTAGGCCAAACACGGCAGCCAATTACGCACAGCAGTGTCCCCACAAACAGTCATGGATTGAAGTGACCAATTTGCTATTATTATTATTTTTTTTGACTGAATGAATTATTACCCCGGAAAAGCGATCCGCCAATCGACTAACATCCGAGTTCCTATTTATTGCTAGGTTATCAGAAGTGTGTGGAGTAAGGAAACTTACCCAACATTTCGCCCTGCCGGGATTTTAAACCAGGTCTCTCGCTTGCTTGGTGAGTGCTCCTGATCTACAGGACTCCACACGTGTAGTGGTTAGAGCACTCACCTCGCAAGCGAGAGGACTTGGGTTTGATTCCCAGACAGGGCAAAACATTGGGCAAGTTTCCTTACTCGACACCCCCCTGTTTACCTAGCAGTAAGTAGGAACCTGGTTATCAATCAGTCGGTGGATTATAGCAACTTCAAAAAAAAAGAATTTGGTCACTTAGTCCACAACTGTTTGTGGGAACTGGCTGTATGCAATTGACTGCTGCGTTTCATCCAGAAAAAATACAGTCAATTTACTTTACTGTGAAGCACTTTGAAACGTCTGGAAGACGTGATATGGCAAATGCAAGGATTATTATAATATATTTATATAGCGCCTTACCACGTCATTCATACATCTCAAAGCGCATCACAGGATATACTATAAAGTGGGCATCTGAGCCGAGGGAGGTTGGGTTGGGGAAAAGATGACCAAAAGCGCAGTGAAAGAGTTAGGTCCTAACGTGACTTATCATGTTGTCTAGACGGCTCAAAGTGCTTCACATGATTTCCTGCAAAGTGTGCGACTGTACGTTTTGTGGGAAAAGCCAATTTGCACACAAAAAGCCATGGAATAAGTGGCTGATTTCATCAGGGGGATTGTCGGCCAGGACGTCTGTAGAGAGAAACTCACTCCTCTTTTCAGATAGTGCCGTGGGATCTTTAACGTCAGCCTGAACAGGCAGACGAGACCATGGTTTAACACCTCATCCGAAAGACAGATCCTCCAACAATCCAGCACACCCCCAGCGCTGTATTGGAGCGTTATCTTAAACAATATGGGTTTCAAATCCTAATGTGTGGCTTGACTCCACAAACTTCTGACTCAGAGGATAGAGTGCTACCACTGAGCCAGTCTGAAGCACATTTATAAACAGCTAAACAGGGCACTTGCCTACAGCCTTGCAGCATGTGATGATTCTTAAAGCAGCAACTGTCCTGATCAACGTGGCCAGTCTCATGGTCAGTTCGCAAACCTTTGCTGTAAAGGGATTTTATTAAGCTGGTATTAATCAACTTGTGATAACGGTTTGCACTTAATGCAGTGCCTTTCACGTGAAAAAAAGCATCTTGAAACACTTTACAAAATATAACTGATCTGAAACGTGTAGGAATAATAATAATAAGCCTTGACATAGCACCTTATCACATCTTCGAGACATCTCAAAGCGCTTCACAGAATAGACTTAAAGCGAATGGACTGTATAGTTTGTGGGCGAAACACAGCAGCCACAAACAGTCATGGATTGAGTGAGCAAATTGTTTTTTATGGGATTATTACCACCAGAAAACGATCTGCCAATCGACTAACAACCGGGTTCCTACTTACTGCTGGGTGAACAGAGGGGTGTGGAGTAAGGAGAATTGCCCAATGTTTCGCCCTGCCTGGAAATCGAACACAGGTCCTCTCGCTTACGAGATGAGTGTTCCTAATCACTACGCTACAGGGCTGAAATCAGGCGGCTTAATCGGAGCTGTACGTCCTGACACACTGAGTGAGTTTAAAATTCCAGTTTAAGAAAGGTTAGACGCTGCACTTATGCCCAGTCGTTTTCTGGTAAGATATGAGAAGCGGCTTCACAGAACTTTGCCAAAAGCAAATTTTCATTAGAATGTAGAGATGTAAAGGACAGGAAAAGATTTTAATAACTATACGGTAATAACAAATTACTCCAATTTTATCTGGAGGATTATCAACCAGAACACTGAGAGAGAAGCTCCTTTCTCTTTTCCAACCGCGCTGGTGGGATCGTATAATGTCCGTCCTGAACAGGGCAGCGACGGGATTGTCGGTGTCACATTTTACTCAAAGATAACGCCTTTGACAATGCAGTGTTCTCCCCAGTACTGTGCTGGAGCGTCAGCTCAGAGTCCCTAGCATGAGGGTTTGTTCCTACGACCTCCTGCCTCAGAGAGCGAGCGACCGAGATAGGATGATACACCGAGACCGAATTAAAGTTAACTTTTCCACAGTTCCGTGCGGTGATCAATTTTTAAGACAAAATAATTGCACAGGCTAAGAATAGGTGAAATTTCGGTCTTCCTCTGATGTCGGAAAACAAGCTTCACAGCTGTGGGTGTGTTTTACTTCATTTATAACAAGAGATTCACAAAATTTACTGTTCAGGAAAGTTATAGTAAACGAGACGTTTTATAAAACTATTTGCTTTGATTAATTAACTCCTATTGAGAGCCATTTCGATACGACAAGCCATAAGAAAGATCTTTAACTCACATGGAGTAACTCACCACGGGACTCGTTCAGCGAGCATTTAACTTCTGTTTTGTCTCCTGCTTCAAAAAATAAAAAAGGAAAAGGATTAACGTATAGACACAATTTACGTGTCTCAGTTTTTAACGGACATTTAAAAAGCTAACCTTAGCTTCCTTTCTTCCTTCCTTCTGCAATAATAACCTTGAGTTTGAGTGAAAGGATGTTAAAATGTTTAAGTGTGTCGATGGTATCTTTCCCGCATGTGAGGATGTGACCCATTTTCTACTCCCACATCTGATCTCTGAATACCTCTGATACAAAGCAAGCTGTTACTCTAAAGACAGCTTACCCATGCGGTCTGTGATGCACAGTCACCCCTCTTTTGACAAGGCCAGCAAGTTCCATTCAGTAATAACGGGCAATAAAGACACGTGTTTTATTCCATTAAAAACAATCTATTAACTCACATTCTTGCGAACTTCAGATGAGATGTTAAACCGAGGTCAGGTCTGCCTGCTCAGGGGGGATGTCAAAGATTCCGCGGCACTATTCAAAAAGAGAAGGGAGTTTCTCTCTTCCAGTGTCCCAGCCGACAATCCCCCAAATAAAATTAGTCACTCCGTTCATGACTGCCACACTTTGCCCCACAATTAATCCACTTTATGGTAAATTCCTGTGAAGCACTATGACAGGTCCTCCTTCACGCCCTGGCACCTCCCTACCCGTCCAGCTCCATTTCCTGCTGCCTCTGCTCGGCTGGCTCTGGCCTCATGCTCATCCCTCGTCCCCTCCGCTCCATCATGGCTGGCCGCGCTTTCAGTCACTGCGTCCTGAAGCTTTGGAACTCACTCCCTCAACACCTCCACCTTGCCCCCTTCTCCCCCTCTTTTAGATCACGATTGAAGACCTAACTCTTTGACAGTGCTTACGGTCACCTCCGCCCTCCCCCTGGCTCGCCGTCAGGCTCCGCCACTCTTAAGCGCTCCGAGAGGCTGCCCTGCATTAAAGGCAGTATATAAATGCAAGGTGTTGTTGTAGCGAGGGTTAGCTGTTCAGCACTATGTTGATCGGATTCATTTGTTGACAACTCGCTCACACTCTCTCTCCTTCCCCCGCTCTAAATGGTATTAGTGGCTTCAAGTGTTAACCTCGAACTAGGACATTGTAACCATTCGTGACATGACTCACTACTGATGCTATCTCACTGCGACTGCAAAAAAAAGTTTCCTGGAAATAGTTGCCAAAGGCTTCCTTTCCCTTGGAACAAACACCAATCAGCAGCAAATACTGGAGAGACTTTTGAGCCCCAATTGTTGGGAGATGTCTAGTTATCCTCTTTATCCTTGCACTCAACGGTGGGGCGGAGAAGAGAGAAGACCTCGTTCTCTCGGCTAGCCAAGGGTTCTGACTTTGAGCTCAGAATCCTTCACGCAAGCCCGACTGACATTTTCCGTTGCAAAATAGCCTACAAAAACACACAGTCACCACAAGCAAGTTTTGAAACCATAGGCAAGTTTTGTTTCTTCACACACTCTGTTTACCTAGCAGTAAGAAGAAGCATGGTTGTTAATCAATTGGCGGATCGCTTTCCGGGAGTAATAATCCGTCCCAAAAAATTATTGGGTTCGGGTGAAAAAACCTAAAGTTAAAAGAAAGAAGGGATGAGGGCACCGGTCAGAGTACGAAAAATTCCTTTAAATAAAAAAGAATAATAATCTGGTCACTCAATGCACGACGGTTTGTGGGACACTGCTGTGCGCAATTGGCTGCCACGTTTCACCCACAAAAATATAAGAATCAGAGTTCCGTGCATGAATGCTTGTAGCATAAGAAATAAAACAAGTGAGATAGAAACACAAATGCATCTTAAAGAGTACAATGTATAGAGACCTGGCTGCAAGCTGGGCATCACTGGGAACTAAATATTCCAGGTCATTAGATCTTTAGAAAGGACGGAGAATTGGGGAAGGAGAAGGGGTCGCAATATTGATAAAAGACACAATTTACAGCAAATAGAAAGAAAGGATTTCGGTAAGGGTGATCAGGCCGTGGAAAAACTATGAGAAGGAAATCTGGAACGCTCCCAAAAGACTGCGGAGGCTGGATCCATTAAAATGTTCCAGGCTAAGGTGGTTAAATTTTTGTTAGGTCAGAATATCAAGGGATATGAGTCACAGGTGGTAATTGAAGTTGAGGTACAGATCAGCCATGATGTATTTGAACTACGTTCTCATCTATCATTTCCTGGCTCGATTGGTTGGGGGCAGAAATGTGTTTTCACTGTAAAGACTAAAACAGCCCCCCCTCCCACACTAAAATAAGTCAATCAGTCAGATTATACACTTCAAAACGTTTTACTACGCTCACAGCATGCATGTACTTTCAACGCTGATTTCCTGACCTACAGACACAAATATCTGTGAGTAAGTATGAGGGGTTTTAATCAAAGCCTTTACATGCAAAGGTTAAGTGAGTCTTGAACTTTAATCTCAAACTTAATCTGGAGGGAGGGTTGCTTTATAAAGCTCCCATAATTACAAATAAAAATGTATTAGCTTGTAGTTTGTGTTTTGGAAAGAGTTGGCGGGGTGGGGGGGGGGTTGGGGGGGAGAGTAGCAAAAGTTTTGCACATGCCGTTCTGTAACGTAGTGGTTAGAGGACTCTCCTCGCAAGCAAGAGGACCTGGGTTTGATTCCCGGGCAGGGCGAAACATTTGTCATTTTTCCTTACCCCACACACCTGTTTACCTGGCAGTAAGTAGGAACCCCTTTGTTATTTGATTGGCGGATCACTTTTCCGGGGTTAAAATTAAACAGCAATTCTAAAAAATCCAAAAAGAAAATTCTAATAGTTTGGTCAATCAATCCACGACTGTTTGTGGGACGCTGCTGTGCGCAATTGGCTGCTGTGTTTTGCCCACAAACTATAGTCCATTCACTTTACAGTTTGTTCTGCGATGCGCTTTGAGACGTCTCGAAGACGTGATAAGGCGCTAGATCACATGCAGGCATTATTGTTATTATATTAAAATAAAAGTTTAGCAAAAGGAATAAAAGTTTGGTGAATGAAACTAAAAGTCTAGCCAATTCAATAAAAACTTTTGCATCATGGAAACAGACTGACTGCCTCTCCTAATACCATTGAATAATTGGGTGTCTCTATGTCACCTGCCAGGAAGCTACAAAGAGGAGGTGGAAAGAGAGAGAGAAGGTAATGTTTTTTTTATTTAAAACTCTTTAAAGACGAGAAAAGGGGAAGAGTTTGAGCCCTTTGCCTCAGCCCAGAGGCATCAGGTTTGCAACAGGTTCAAAAACCCTTCACCAGTCCCAAGACTCACTCCTTCCTACCAATTTCTTACAGAAATGCGTTGAGGTTAAAATATAGAAAAATCCGAGGTTCGCTTTCTGTAGGGAATGTGCAATCCCCTTCCCCTCTCTCTCTCTCTCTCTCTCTCTTTCTTCCACCCCTCTACCCCAACCTTCCCCCTCTTCACCATCATCACCAAACCAACTACTACTCCCCCTTTGTGGACGCAGTGTGCAGATGAATTGAATGATAACCCACCAACCACATCACACTCACACACACACACACACCCATTGGAGCTGAGTGCGTTCACACGACTCTTTCCAAACCCATCGGGATATCAGGGCGAGAAACAGGTGGAATTATCTCGAGGGTTGGCTGCCAAGACTGCAGACAGATTCAGCACCAGATGGAGTGAACGTGAATCAATAGATGATGCTGTGCATGTCTGTGCCTGAGTGTCTCTCTCTCCCTCCCTCCCTCCCTCCCCCATGTGTTATTTGCACTCAACATTGCTTCCCATTCAATCGGTGTCATTGACACTGATACGTGTGCACACAATGCCTATTGTTTGTGAACGTATTTGCTCACTAAGCAACCCAGTGACATCTCTGCCTGGACCCCCCCCCCCCCTCCCAAAAAAAAAATTAGAATAGTTTAATAGATGTATCTGCAGCGAATACATTATGACTGTGCCCGCTGCCTCCCACTGGAACTTGATTGAAACCCATGGTCGTTTCAGAATATACTTGGCAGATGCCTTGTGTGTGAATGTGTGTGGACACAAGCGGAGTTGTAAATAGGACTGAATCCCTTCACAAGGGGTGACCAGGAAGGAAGGAATGGCCTATTTGTGAATCTTAATAGAAAGCTGCCCTTTTACCGTGCAGACGAAAGCGAAAACAGGTTAGGTCCATGGGTGGGTCTGTGGGTGGGTGGGTGGGTGGGTGGCTGGGGTCTATGGGCTAGTTTGAACGAACAGTTGGGGCTAGATTGGATCGATAAAAAACTACTGTAAATGTATTTATTTGCATTAGTGAAGCCGCTGAAGCAAAGGCGCTGGGATTCATTTTCAAGAAATGGCTTGACGGTGTCACGGGAAGATGGCTGTTCGGCTGTTCTAGAACGTAGTGATCAAATGGGCTCAAGAGCAGCGCTGTGGTTCTAAGGTGTCATAACCTTCTGTTATTTCAATAAAAGCAGTGATAACTTTGCCCACAAAATACACAGTCACTCCAGTATATCTGTGAAGATGTTTTACAGCAATATCCTGTGAAGTGCTTTGAGACGTCTCAACAATGTGAAAAGGTGCTATATCAAATGCAAGGATTATTATTATTGTACTACTGTTAGAACTAACGTTACCCCAGGCTGTGAATATTAGAAGGCTGTTTAACTGTTGGGAGGCAAATCAGCTGAAGCCAATCCTGCCTGTGAACCGGAAATCTAGGATTGGGCTTCACGGATGCCAACATTAAGATTGTAGAGGGAGGGGAAGGAGAGGGGCTGATCTACCTACAAGATATTGAGGGAACATTGCCATTGCCTTGGCCTTTCAGTCTCTGTGCAGTATCCTCCACAGCGTTATTCTGAATAATTTTACAAAACTTAAGTCTGGCTCTTTGACTGCTTCCTAATAATAATCCCTCCAAAACCCAAAACAATAATAAATTGGTCATTTTCAATCCGCGACTGTTTGTGGGACATTGCTGTGCGCAATTGGCGGCCGCGTTCGCCCACAAATATACAGTCAATTCACTTTACAGTGTGTTCCGTGAAGCACTTTGGGACGTCCGCCCGACGTGAAAAGCCTTATATCAAATGCAAGGATTATTATTATTATTATTATTCCTGTAGAATGGATGCCCTTTCACTCCTCACCGCCATATGCCACTGGTCAGGGCATCCATTCAGTTGATGAGTAAAGTAGCTCCACAAAAAAAAAGTTAAGTAGTCATTTTTCTCTCTCTCCCCCTCCCCCCCTCCACCCCACCACCCCCAAGGCATTTGACTCCCGTGGGAGTACAGTTCCACATTGCACTGGGTT